CGGGGAATTTGCTAATTCTGTCCTGAGCATTAGTTCGCCAAACCGTGATGTCTTTTATTTGCGTGCGGGTGCTCCGAAATCCAAAGCGGAGGTGAGGCTGTGGATGCACACCGCGACTGCCGTGTGCAGAAGAGCAACGCCGGGCCTCTTTTAATGAGGCTCGGGATTGTGGTTTTTTGGTCTAATGATGGACAGGGTGACAGGTTAGTGGGCACATGTGACTTTTTCTGTCGTGGAAAAGAAGACATTCACCTGGCGTGTCTGAAAAATATTTTCAGCTGTTGAGTGCACCAACAAGTCGAACGTTTCCACCTTGTCTAATGACAACGTGAAGAGGGTTTATTCCCCCCCCCCCTGAATAGTCAACGAGCTGACTTGAGTACCGTGTTTTCCGCACTATAAAGCGCTTCGGGTGATAAGATGTAACTTCATTGAATGGCCTATTTAAAAACTGTTTTCATGTATAGGGCGCACCGCATTCTAAGGAGCATAGAATAGAACCTACAGTAGTGGCTGCGGTTGCGCTAACCATCCACTAGGTGGAGCTAAAGGGAATACAATACAGTACGATTATAGCTTTATTCATTATAGCGCCTCCACAACCGCTGCAACTGGAATAAAGCCACGAGAACCGATCTAAATACAAATGGCATGACAAAACAATGAACGAAAGACAAATGCTCTGAAGACAATTGATTCGACAAAAAAGGCACACACACCTCGTGGGCTCGCGATAGCCTTCGAAGTCTTGCTTGTCTCCTCCTTCCTTCGTTTAGTCAGTAGTTAAGCAAGTTATGCTTTTGGTATTATCTTCGTTTCCTAACGGCTGCGCAGAGCTCACAAAGTGGTTGTCTGTTTGAGTGTGTGTTGGCGAATGCGCATGTCAATTAGTTTCGGGCAGAACCCTTTTGAAGTTACAATTGGTTCCTGCTAATAATCACCACTAGACGGCATAGAAACACTAACAGGGAAACAACTCAATGGGGAATATAAAGAGACTGTGACACCCTATACGAGGCGCATCGGATTATCGGACGAACTGTTGGCTTTTGGGAAAATTGAATTCTTTTAGATGCGCCTTATAGTGCGCAAAATACGGGACACATTCCAGCGGATAGTCTAAAAACTACTACCCAAAACTCTGACATTTGGTGGTTCAGGTTCAGGAAGTTGAACTTTAGCTGAGGTTGGCTTGATTTCAACTCGTGCAAAACACACTCACACACACTCACACACACACACACACACACACACACACACACACACACACACACACACACACAAACACACACACACACACACACACACACACACACACACACACAAACGCACACAAACACAATAGCAGCCTGTTTGCACATAGTGCCTCGAAGATATGGCTGGAATAGCCACATGACATCAAGTTGACAATCCCGTTTTTTTAGAGCATTTCTTTCCAAAATGCTGCACTCTGCTCTTTCACTCACTCTTGCAGCACTCGCTTCGATTTCCCTTCGCCTCGACATCTTGACTCCCAACTACAGTACTTACGAGTACTTTTGAGATTGCTATCATTCTGATGATTTCAGGTGTAGTTGGGACTGAAGCGACCAAAACACAAAACACTTTTGTTCTCAACCTCGTCATCCTTGAGGTGTCGGCTAAAAGGCAGTGATCTGTATCTTTGAAACGACAGCAATTCGGAAGCAGGTTGGTATCGCTACAAAATTGGTAGGAAACGTCTTTGTTACCGTACAAAATGAGCGAAATTAAGAGCAAATAATCGACAGGATACACTGCCCAAACCTCTTGACAAACTCCGCATTCACTCATTTGAAAAGTACATATTGAACCAGAGAGTACGCTGCCTAAGTAGAGTGCTTTTGAAGATTATAAGTTGGGCGTTATCTCCAATTATTCCCCCTAATTAAGAGTTTTAGAGTTAAAATGTTTTGACTTTCTTTGGTAAACACACCATGAAATTTGAGGAATATTTGAGAGCTGACATGGATTTTCTCTGTCGAAACGACTCATCCACGACTATCTTTAGAACCTTTTACTGGATGGGAGGCAGCATGGTGTCGTGGTTAGCATTCCCATGTCACAGTCCAAACGATCCGGTTTGGAGTTTCCTCGGGCTCGCGTGTTTTTTTTTCTTCTTTGGTTTATTCCAGCCTCCTCCCACATTCCCGAAGCACGCATCTTAGCTTAACTAAACCAAAGGCTCCAAATTGCCCCATAGGTGTGAATGTGAGTGTGATTGGTTGTTTGCTGGCGTAAGCCCCGTGATTGCAGATTCAACTGATACCAAAAAAGATGTGATTTATAATCATGATATTCTTGTTGTCTCAGAGCAGTCCTTTAATTTGCCGCAGCAAAGGATGCAACCCGGGTTTCCGAGCAGCTTTCTCAGCCCCACCCCCCTTTGAGCTTTCGAAAAGCAGACCAATCAGCATTTGAATCCCTTTCTTAAATGAGCCACTTTTAAATTCAGACTCGTATGCATGGCTGGTAGTCATTCCTCATCTTTTGTTTTGAATGCGGGTGTCCTGGTGCGCCTCAAAGACGAATTAGCCCACGGATGACTGACAAGACATCTCTTCTACTTCAAGTGATAGCGGTTTGTACTCTTCCAAAGAAGATTGCAAACAGGAAGACGTCGGTGCTTTCTGGATTTCTGCTGCAACGCATTCATGTCACTTCAGAAAATCAGGATTAAGATTTGAACTCGACAAAGCTGATTATTAGTCCCACCATGTATGCAAGAATGTGACTGCAACAAACTCACAGCTGGCGTTGTGTCCAACATAGCGCGGCACAGCGAGTTAAAATGTCGTTTTGCTCGACACGATGCACTTTTGAACCCCAGCATCAATCCCAATGTTCAAAACCGAACCGGGTTTTTCAGGTTCCACACTGATGTGTCATGAAATAGAAAGCAAAATAAAACCTTGGTCTGCTAACTCTTGATTACCACCCATCTGCATTTATTTGCGAGGCAACGCAAACATCGATAGCTAATTTAATATAGCATGCCTCCTCTAGTCCGAACACTTTGTAACGACACCACGAGTAGCCGGAGATTGACACAGCCGCTGGTGTACTTCCAATCGCTTTTGGCCTTTAATAAGCGTAGCGGCTAACAGTTAGCTACAGTTAGCCGACTCTACTCTCTCATTCGCTGACACCCACGTCACTCACCAGGCCGGGCCCCACATTTCAAAGGCCTCATGCTCAAAGTCACCGAGTAGGGAATGTGAGGACGGCATCCCCAAGTGGACGAAAATAATACCCGGACACTACATGCACATGTTTACGAATGCAAAACAGTTGTTATCCAATAACTCAATAAAATAATGGCATAATCGGTAGAATCATGCGAATTTCTCCATTGTGAGACAAATAAAGGTTTTCCTATGTTATCTTATTCTAAAAGTATTTGACAGCTGCTGCCCTACTCTTTATTATGTTGGCAAAGTTTTTTCCACTTTCCTGCCTTAACTTGGTTTCAGTCCGTAACAGGACCGCAACTAACGATTATTTTAATAAGGTGATTACGCTGTCGGGTATTTTGTCGATTATTAAATGAATTGAGTTTGGTTGTTGAGCAATCGTGGCACGTCGAACCCGTAACCCGGTTTCATGTGTGCACGTAAACTCAGCCTGTGCGCTTCCTCGTATTAGAAATTCCAGTGTGCGGTGTTCCTCGGGGGAAGGTGACACAAGGCACAGGTGGAATTTGGCGGGCTCAGGAGGACTGATGGATCATTTTTCATCTCGATCATGAATAATGGGATTCATTGAATCGACTTTAAATTACTTTTTCCACTTCATATCCAGGTTATTTTAATACTCAAAGTTCAACATTTACATTCTCCAACGTGCTCTTTCCCCGCCCATCCTGCACGGCGAGCTCCATTTCATTCAGGATACTTTAGATTCAGTCAAAGAGGACTTGTGTAAGAAATTCCAAGGGGTGGAAGAGTTCTGAAGTCACTTGAGGGGACCACGTGTCGCGTTGAGTCAGGGTGGGGTCAGTCGAAGAGTGTTCTTGGCCGACTGCGGATTACAGTTTGGCATACAAAAACATCCCTATTTTTATCGTGCGTCATCTGTTTTGTTGTGCTCTTGAAATAGTTTCACATACAAACGCATTCAGAGTAAAATGCATTCCGCTTAATTTATGGAGCAATACCAAATTAGTACAACAGATGACTCGCTATGGCCCAAAAAAAAGTCTGTGAGATGGTTTCTGACCAAAAAGGGTGCAAAAATTTCATCTGTGCTCTATGTTACATGTTACACATACAGTACATTTGACAATAAAGTTTTATCCAATCCAATTTTCTTGTTACCGAACCCCTCATGATTGTAACTTAAAACAACAGTTGGATCAACAGTTATTCTTGACTTCATTATATGGTTTCAGTCATGACGGCCCTCAAAGTGAAACGGTAACTAAAATGTGATCCACGCTTAAAATGAGTTTGACATCCCTGAGTTAACCCTTTCGTGCACCAATAATGAGAACCTGTAACCTGATAACATGATAAGCTATCCAATGTAGTAACCACTATCCCTGAACGGGTTCACCACTATATAAGTACAAAACACACTACCCCTAGCTATAACACGTGACAACTTTGGAATAAGAGTCACCCACAAAAAAAAAAAAAAAAGCCAAAGAAGAAGCTATTACTTGAAGTCTTTGAGAGTCGTCAAAAAAAAAAAAAAAAGTTTGGATCATGCAATTAGTTAAATTGTAGGCCCTCAGGGGCATTCAAATGTACCAGTTCGTCTGTAGTCAGACACTCGTTTGTCTCTTTGTTTAGCCCCAAACGAGGTCATCTTTTGCCCACGGGGAACTGGTGTAGTCCTTAGGTATTACCGTAAACCTAATTATAGGCCATGGGGAAAAAAAAAACTTCACAGACTGGGCTTCTTACTCCGCCTCTCTCACCTACTTCTTTGAGTTTAGCTCCTTCAAACTCCCACGGGGCTTGTTGACAACACAACGCTGCTATTTGGCGGGCAGGTCCATCGGGGTTGTTTGGTTCCGTCACATTTGAAGAGAAACAGAAATGTTGAAGAGCCGGTCCGTTGTGTACTTAAAGGACCGTCGCAGCTTGACAGCGGTATTGTCAGTCGAGTCTCTCAAGGCTGTTTAGGGGGGGTGGGGGGTTTGGGGGGGCTAACCTCGCTCTGTTTGGCGGATTTTGGATCGCGGTCTCATGGGGATTTTCAAAGGTAGGATCAGAAATCATGGCTTTTCTGTCGCCTCGTATTTACATTATAACAGGTTGGCTTCCTTCTTGGGTGTTATTTTCTCAGGGCTTCGGCGACCTGTGCGTTTGCTCTTTTCTGCGGGCGTGTTTGGACTGCCAAGGATTGAGCGATTATATTCACACATAGCTATGATTCATCCACAAAAGAAAGAATGCGTGTAAATCTAACAAGCGCAGGTGGCCATTGTTTGTCTTCATGCTAGTTTCGGTTGCCGTGAAAGGTGGGAGGGTCTTAGCCGCCCTTAGACGGCTTTTTTTCTGGGAGTGCTCCGTATAAAAGCCACAGTTGGTGTGTAGTGGTTCACTTGACTGACGTCTGCGAAGGCAGCATGGCTTTAGTTCCGACTCGGTGTCGGCGTAATGGTAAAATTCGTATTGCGCAAGCTTTTATCGGTCAAACTTCAAAACTAAAACATGACAATAACTCCAAAACCTGATATGCTGGGGGTGGGGGGTAAAGACATTTTCGAAATCAGCATCAAAAATATGTTTAGTGACAGCCATCTCTGATTAAAATTTGTTCTCGACCAGTGTCGTGAGTGTTCAAACTGGATACCGCCTCAGTTCAAGTCTGTCTTTGTACATCGTATGACTCAAATGCAACTCGCAAAACCGACATGTTTTGACACGTGAGAAAGGGTTTTATTTTGAAGTCATCACAAAGTAAATAATGGATCAGAAGAATGTCTTGCCATTAACTTAAATCGTAACATTTATGGCCTAAATCTGAAGCTGAATTCATCAATTCATGCTTTTTTTTTTTTTTAGGGGGCGGGGCATGTTTTTGCACAAAATTTCTCTCTCCTGTGAGGTCAAACACACACTAAAGTACAAATATTGTAAAACCTTTTCCGCCTGTGATTGCGACCTTTGTTGATGTAAATCAGGGTTGTCAAACTAATTCTTGTCGCGGGCCACTTTGGAGTTATGTCTTCCCTCGGAGGGCCATTAAGACAGTGAAACCGAATAAATGTTGACTCATCACATCGTATTATTACTTGTACACATAAAAATGATGGCTCACTAGTTTTGAAACCAGTCAAGCTTTTGTTCAATTGTTGCTCAAGTGAATATAAACAGGGTAATAAAATGATTGCAAAATGTCACAGTTATTTACGACGATTTCGGTACAGATTTAAGTAAGGATCATGGAAGTTGACACATATGATTTGCTTTCACGGGCCACATAAAATGACGTGGCGGGCCGGATTTGGCCCCCGGGCCTTGACTTTGACACATGTGATGTAAACATTAGCTGCCCATAAACAAGTTATTTTAATCTGAATTTTTTTTTTCTAACTAATCGTCTGATTAATTGGTATCAGAATTTCTTTTTCTGCCATATATCGCAATCGGCATGTGCCTAAAAAAAAAAATCAAATTCGGTCAGGCCTTGTTAGTATTTTTTATCCATTTTGAGCTTACAAAGTTTATCAAAAAAACTTGATTTAACTCTTTCGGCGACAGCGGTTACTACAGTGGACATTTTACCAGGTTATGAGGTTACAGGGTGCATGAAAGGGGTTTTAATAGGACGTTATGTTTCAATGTGTTTAAAGCGTGCGGAAGGGGTCAAGCTAACATATCCCCCCCGCAATAAACGGGGGTTCACCGGGCAAAGGCAGATAAATGCTGTTTCAACTGTTAACGTTTTCCTCCAGCTGCAGTGATAACCTTTCTCTTTTACACTTCCCAATGTGTGTTTTTTTTTTCACCGTGTGTCGGAGGAGGACGCGCGCAGTCAAATTGAAATTTCCTGGCTGCTTTCTGGGAATAATGCTGCATGTCATGGATTTGGGAGCTGCAGTTGAAAGTGGGAAGGAAGAAGGGAGGGACGGGAGGTGTGTTGCAATACTATGAATGAGCAGGAAAGGAATTTGGGAGGCTGCCTTGGCGTTACTCCGTGTGGATACTTTTAGTGTCCGTCGTCGAACGCCGGTGCTGGCACTTGATTCAAATCGGGTCAGACAACATGAAATGCCGCCTCGTTGACACACTCCCAGAATACCCTCGAGTTGTTTTTCAACGAGCGAGCCGCGGGACCACCGAGTGTATTTCATACAAAGACCCCTCCTTTAACCCTCGCTAAAACACAAGACGCGTTTTTATGTCCTCACTGTAAACAAGCCGAGCGTCTGGCAAAGTGACTGTCAGCCTCGGTTGAATGATCTCATCTTTGTGTGCCGTAAGCGCTGCCTTGTTTAAAGTCGGCAGGCGCGCATACATGGAGAGGATATGACCCCTTAAGCCGTTCAAGTCAGAGCTGTCTGCACCCGAATGGACTCACTTAGGCTTTGGAATCGCCGGTTGTCTGCTCACCGGCGAGTAAATGGGCTACTAATACTGCTGGCGGCTCTGCCATTTCATCATATACGTTAACTCAACACGACCTAACGCCATCTCCGAGCAGGAGAGCAGGAGGCGAGGAGGAAAGGGGAAGAGGCAGGAAAACAGACCAAAATCCAGATGTCAAGGGGTAAGTCAACGTAAGAGACAAGTTGCATATGAGATGTGGGCTAAGCAAATGCGAGAGCGTCAGGATTGAAACGTTTTGAAACAACTGGCAGCGAGAGGGAACGAGACAAGTAAATAAGGACCCCTTCAAAATGTTTTGTAACTGCCTCGTATGTTACCCAAAGCCCTACTTTTCTATTCGACAAGGCTTTAGTGACATCTTGTGGCATCCTAAGGTGTTTCTGAGAGAGCATTGAAACCGTTTAGAGGCAAGTTTTTTGAGCGAATAACCGAGGAAAAAGTGGCTACTAACTTGGTGCTATATTTAATGAATTCTCTGATGACTTTCGTGGTTTGTTTGAAAAAAAAAAGAATAAAAAAAAGGAGCTGTCAAGTAAGAGAGACTCTCGGAAAATAATGACTTGGCTGTAGAATTTCACAAGTGAAATGTCCAATATCCATCACGTTCCTTCAGGTTTCTATAATCTCATTTAAGGGCTATTTACAATTATTATCCCCGCCAGCGGATTACTCGAGTGTCAGTGGGGATTGTATTATTGCAAAGTTGAAGAGCATTTTTGGAAAGTCTCGTTCCTCCTTTCATGGATGCAGACTGTGGGATGTGCCAAGGACTGGAGACTAATCAGAACGTTTTTGGCAGCGACCTTAAACTTTTTATTTTTATTTTTTTAATGGCTTAAGTCTGAACAGACTGGATCAAATGTGGATCTCGATGTTTGCGATCAAAGCTTAACATCTGATTTTGTAAATGGACAAAATGATTCATCTTAAAAAAAAAAAAAAAAAAAAAAAAACAACCAATTGAATTGTACATATTTTTTGGGGGGCAGTGGGAGTGATTTATTTGTCTAGGTTTCATTATTCGCATCACCACACCTGACGTTTGTTAGCGGCGCGCTTGGATGTTTGATATCTGCGGCATACAGTATATGTATTTATGCATGAAGATGTTGACAAGCCGTCTCCTAAATTGGCATCCTGTCTGCTTAAGCGTTGTAAATCACGTCGCCCGCGCTCTGTGTAGGAAGCCCAAGCTCGGATTTTTGTCTCTAAATCTTTTGTCTAAGTAGCATGCAGATGACAGCTGCGGTGCATCTCTCCAGTAGTAAAAATTCCTTGTACAATCTTATGTTTCCCAAAAGAAAACACGCGCTTTTGTCTGTTTCTGCCAACGCGTCATCGCAGGTGCCCGACGTGTGCGGCTCTGACGGCGACTCCTCATCAATATGCATCGCCTCGGCGCCTTGTGTATTCCGCTTGCTCATTTTGTCCGTGAACCGCAGGCCAATGGGAGCAAAGGCGCCCACTTATCTTCTTCTGGCAATTTTAATTTTTATTTCCTTCTTCATATTTTTTCATCTTTTTAAATATACAGTGGAGGCCTTCGTTTACAAGTGGCCCAACTTATGAGTTTTTCCACTTGAACGCATAGCGAGACTCCAATGGGAGTTTGGTAGTTTGGTGTCCGTCGTCCTTGGACCGGTATTGTGCTCTACTCTCTCTTTGGACGCTTGAGACAATCCAGGGTAATTTTCTTTTTTCATAATCTAACAGGGCGGCCCGGTGGACGAGTGGTTCGTGCGCCGACCTCACAGTGCAGAGGTCGTGGGTTCGACCTCTGGCCTTCCTGTGTGGAGTTTGCATGTTCTCCCAGGGCCCGCGTTGGTTTTCTCCGGGTACTCAGGTTTCCTCCCACATTCCAAAAACACGCATGGCAGGCTGATTGAACACTCTCAATTGTCCCTCGGTGTGAGCGTGGATGGTTGTTCGTCTCTCTGTAACCTCAGATTGGCCGGCAACCAGTTCAGGGTGTCCCCCGCCGACTGCCCGAAGACAGCATGGAGAGGCCCCCCGCAACCCTTGTGAGGATAAAGCGAATCAAAAAATGGATGGATGGGAAAATCTAGCAAAAATTGTGCTTTTTGGAGGGTCTGAAACAGATTAATGACACTTTATTTCATTTTAATGGGGGGAAATTTCATGGTCACAGAACAAATTAAACTGGGAACTATTTTTTTTTTTTGCTTCTGTACTGTGTGTTGTTATCGGATGCCATAAACCATTCTTCATGTTGTCTGTTGTTGTACCAAAGCCATATGGCGTTGATTTGCACAGTCACCGACAGTCTTCTGGCCATATGGTATGTGTGAGTGCGTCCGTGTGCGGGGGTGCTTGTGCCTCGCTGTTCGCGGCGTCGCGTGACCGTTGATGGCTACTTATTGAATTGAATACAACTTTATTGTCAAATGTGCTGTACAGCACAGATGAAATTTCTTCCCTCTCAACATAAAACAAGAGGAGCCGCTGCGGGTGTCCGCGCCGCCATCAAAAGAAAAGTTAACAAAAAAATGACAAAATAATACAAGACAACACATGAGACACAGACAATCGTGCAATCTTAACCACCTTCCTGCATACTTATATTTCAATACTTTATACAATAATACAATCCCCACTCAATACTTATTATTCTTCTGTCAATGAGAATCAAGGAGAGGCAGATGCATGCATGAGCTTTGCGATCGATCCAGATGCTGATCAGGTGTGTGTGTGTGTGTGTGTGTTTTTTTTTTTTTTTTGTGTGTGTGTGTCCAGGAGAAATGCCAGTCCCCGAGCAGAGTCCAGTGATGGAGGAGGGGCTTCTGCTGACCTCCCGCAGCCGTTCGGCTGGCCGCAGCACGGAGCCGATCAACACGGCCAACAATATCCTGGCTTCTGTGAAAGAACAGGTAGCGTGCCACGTTGCTCGCGCCACTCAATGTACACGATTTACCAGGTTTCAGTTCACAAAGTCTTTTAAAACAGTCAAACGCTTTGCCTGTAAGTCGTATCTTTAGTTGGGGCCTATAAAGTAGGTAAGTCATTTTATTCATTTAATATTTTTGAAATTAAGCAGCCGATTAATCGGTCATTAGAATTTTATGACGCCAAATACAAAAATTAGCATCGGCCTACCAAAAAATAAAAAATCCATATCGGTCGGGCCCTACTAAATATGAAGTTGATGAAACACAGAAGAAGAGCGTCGCACCTGAGATGCAGTAAAATGTTGGGATTTCCTGATCACATTTTTTTTGCACCCAAGTCCAAGTCACTTAATTTTTTTTTTCCCGTGTCTGCAATGAAGAGGAAAAGGATGGTCACAAATGTTCTTTTTTTTTTTTTTTTTTTGCCTAATCTAAAAAAAACACAATGTGCAAGAAAACTTTTTATTTATTGATTTATTTTTTTTCAAATGGGCTTCAGAAATACATTTAGGAACATAGCAAGCCATCTCTGATTAAAATTTGCTCTTCACCAGTGGAACCAGAAAACCTTGCTAGGATAAAGGAATGATTCAGGTCGATGCGTTCAAATCCGGCATTCCTGCAATCATTCAACAGAGCATTTTCAAGTAACAAAAAGACATCGACGTTTTCGAACAATGACGGCGCACGACTACATCATCACTTAGTTCTGCAGTGTTTGTTCTGGAATTTATCAGTCTGGGAATCCAACACAGTCTGTGACACTTCACACAATCCCTCCAAGGACTGTTGACTTCTCTGCTGTTTATTTACAAAAACTGCACCCAAGTCACTTTGGAGCTTCCTGGAAGAAAGGTGGCCTTTGTTCGCCCGAGTAAGGAAAGGAAAGAGGCAGCACCTGTCGATGTCACTTCCTTCCTCGAAGGGTCTTCGCGATCGTGGTTTGTCCGGTCCGAGCATGATATCCGCGTAGCCGAACAGGAAGAGCGCCTCGACTGCCAGAGTTGTGTGGTTTTCATTGACCTGCCCCCTGAGGGGATTCCTCCCGTGAAGCGTAAAGCCATCGCCGAGTTGGAAAGTCAGATGAGAGGCTGGGTGAGAGTGAAAAGGGACGAAATGAGATCCCAGGCCAGTGGGTGTATTTCTTCCCCTTTGCCTTCGCTGGAGGTTTTCCTTTGATTGTTGAGATTTTCGAGGAATCCCACTATGCTCCCCCACTCGGCTGTAGTTTCGGTGAAGGGTGAAGGATGTCCGAGGTAAGTCTATTTTCGTTTTTTTTTTTGGCCTTCATTAGCTGGTTTCTTTCCATGTATTTGTTCATTTCCTGTTGCTCTGGTTGACTTTTTCGCTCGGGTTCAATGTGGAATTCTCTCTCTCTCTCTCTCTCTCGCTCGCTCGCTCGCTCGCTCGCTCTCTCTCTCTCATGTGACTGAAGCAGGCAGACTTTGCCCACATGCCCAAACAAGGGCAGCGGACGCTAACATTTTATTAGCCGCATTCTTCCTGCTGCTTCGTTTGTACTCTATCCCAAACTTCGATTCGTACGGGTGGAGTAAAATGCTATTTAAATCGGTATTCAAGGCACTCATTTTCTTGACAAATACTTTTTTTTTTTTTTTTTAATTCATGCTTGTTTTGCGTACAGCTATGTTGACATCATGCCGAAAACGGAATGTATGGGAGTAATTTCGCAAGGAGGCTTTTTCTATTATGGGTCTTGAGTGGAAAAACTTTGGGAATCAGTCAGTGTGGCCGATAGCTTAACCTCAATTATTTTGACCGAGTCATGAATAATTCATTCCCCCAAGCAATAGTTTTTGGTGTCGAACACTTGGGCACTCGTCAATAAAAAGGTTTAAAGTTCGAAGTGAAAAAGCAGCGTGGAATTCCGTGAGACCAATAGTGATGGATTTTTAGTTAATTGTTAACGTCCTGCTTGTTCCTTTTGAGGCGGGGTACGCATTGAGTGTAGGAAACTGTCACATTGTAAAACCTCACAGCAGAAGTCATTTTGGAAGTTTTGGAAGAAGAAAAAAAAAATACAACAAATTCAACAATCAAATTCAAAAATCAAAATGAAGAAAAAGCTTTTTATTTTTTAATTTTGATATTGTGCCAGTAAGTAAATAATGACTTCAGCGATTATGTCATTCAGGCTGACAATATCAATACTTGATTAATGTCACTACTGCAGAGGATGTTGCTCGTATTTTACAACTTTTACTTAATGATGCTTTTGACTTGCATGAAATAGAAGTTGCTTTCGGCTTTTCCCGGTCAGGGAGATTTTCAGAATTCTCCAGCGTGTACTGTGGCAAACTAGCAACTATCCACTCTGAAGACAAGCCATCCAACCGTAAAGATTGACGTGACAAGCTGAGATTCACCTCCTTATCGTTATGTTCTACTCAAAAGCTGTGCTGATATCAAATCCAAAGCAACGTAACACCGCCTTCTGGTCGTCATTGCAGTGGTTTCTAAACCTGAATCCCACTGACAAGCTGTCCAAAGATCCTCTCCCACGCCTACCCGTTAAAAAATGTACCTGACAATCGGATTCCAGTGGACGAATTGAAATGGGTTCATGTTTTCCAGAGCTGTAAATATAGATCTCTTTATCCAGTAGAACACAGAAAGTCACGACACAATTTCCTCCCCAAAGTGTGCCACAGAAGATATTTTCTCTTTGTGGGCAATAATCTCCTACCTTTGGTACGCGTAAGTGAATAAGCCCCCTAATTGCAATTGACTGCCCATTTTTCTCCACTCCTCCGGTTTTTATCCGCCTCCGTCTCCCCGGTGAGGCCTCTGCCGTGACAAAGGCGAGGGGAAATCGAGACCCATAAGCATCGTGGCCTCGATTATGGACATGAAAATGGAAGCCCGGCTCCAAGCAATTACCCCCGCCAGGGAGGACGAGTGCTGCACATTCGCAGCAGCGGCATGCAGGTGAAGGAGAGTGCTCTGGCGTGCGGTGGAAAAAGACAAAACACTTTGATGTGGAGGCAGGGAAGGACAAAAAAGAGAGAGCGGGGGGCTTGATGGAGAATGGTGGCGTTAGATAGGCTGTCACCTTTGAAGCCTTCTCTAAATGTATTGTGGCAGGCAGCTGTCAATGGAGAGCAAAGCTGAAAATCAGGAACGAGGAGACAATCATGTGACAAGTTGCCAGGGGAGCGTTGTGAGTCGGGTCTAGCACAACGCTGTCTTGTTTCGAATGCAGCCCGGGGAAAATCCCCCCCCAACGCCTAACTGTTAATTCTCATGAACGTCACTGTCATCATTATAATTATAATTATCTCCCTGATCACCGCACCGGTAGGAAGCAATACATCACGCACTTGGAGAGAAAGACGGTGTACAAACACCCCCCACGGTTCATCTTTCACGCCCATGCTATTTTGTGCATTTGTACCTTTTTTTTTTAATGGGATTTTACGAGGGCTGAACAATTGCAAGAGCTACAATTAAAAAAAAAAAGCTTCATTTTGGTCGGTTGATAGGCTTTATTTCGTGTATGAATCTGATATTATTTATTTTAATTCACATAATGTATTGCTTGTGTTGGTCCAAAAAATACATGGGAAGAGGACTCGAAAGAAAATAAGCCATTTTGGATTATTTTTCAAAATGGAAGCAACAGAAATTGCCATGCATAACAATGTATTTATTAGGGATGGGCGAGTACTGATTGCAGCTTTATATTAAGGAATAGGTATCATGGAGGCCTCCGATACCAACCACCGATACCTAAGGCAAACGCAATCTGACATCATGTAAGTCCTCCTGAGTCATCTACTTCAGAAAGAAAGGTATTTGTTCCCAATTTCTCGTCATTATGTTCAATGAAACTTTATATATTAATATTACTAGACGACTCCAGCGAGTCTGTTATACTCCCGCCATGTAGACCACGCGCATCTCCGGTGGTGAATTTGAAGGGAACGATAAGAGCCGCTCCGATTCAGTGGGGATCAAATCACCTGTGATCGCCTCCCACAACGGCGCAAACGCCCATTTCTACAGCGAAAATACCAATTCAAAAGAAAAAACAAAACAAACAAACGCCATCCATTTGCACACTAGACTTGCACTGGGCATGAAAATGGGGTCCTCTGTGTTCGCCAGGGCTATTATGAATCAAACAGCATGGGCAAATGCAACGCTGTGCATGTTTTAGGTTTTGGCCGCAACACAGGGTACCTTTGTGTTATTGTTCAAAACATCACAGGAAACCTTTTATCGCAGTTTGCATGCTCTGGTAACACTGTGCTGGACAGCTCCAAACACTTAGTAAAGACTTAATGGAAATAAGCAATTTTGTTAACGTTTACTTCTAAACCTTTCGCTGAATCTCCACATCAGTGGCTCCTCAGTTACGGTGCTCACGTTGTGCTTTTATGTGCAATTATGTGAACGGCAGAGTGAATGCAAATCAGGCAGGGCTATGAAGACATTTGGAAAATAGGTGAGTGGGAGTCCATCAACCTTTGCGCTTGTACCAGTTCACTTGTCAGCATGTTTTTTTTTTCTTCCTAGCAGGTGAACGGCTGCTGTGCACTGTCCCTAAACTTCTACCATTTCGAATTTAGCCATATTTTCACAGAGGGCCAAAAATAAAGGATTCACTCTCTCTCTGCTTAGCTTTATCTTTTGCTGTTGCAACAGGATTGCAGTAAGGCAGCATCCAAAATGTCAGTTTGGTTCAACAAGCAAGGAAATATTTAGTTGACTTTTGTCGCCCACCCAGCAGTTCTTGCAAAAGGACAAGCCTCAACAAGGGGTCTTGAGAGAACAAGGGAAATAAAGTGACGCCTTCAATTTGGAATATTGGAACCTCAAATACCCTTTGAGGTTCCGCACGTATGATTGTTGTCTACTTGGGATCGCCGTCATCACGTTCCACACTAAAATAACTGTGACTTGGGACTGTCTTTCAAAGGCGGGGCTTGGCATAGTGAGTGACGTGGGCGTCAGCCAATCAGAGTGTCGAGTCGGTTGGCTTTTAACCGGCTAATCTGGCCCGTCCGCGTGTTGAGTGCCTCACCGTGAGTCGTGGCGATCGGCAACCCGTGTGTGCTGCTTATTACCCATTTGCTTTCTCAACGTTTCGATCAATAAAGTGATTGATAGTGCACCCATGGCTTTGTTTACACATTGCAGTTTAGCTTCTCTTTGAACTGCAAGCAGATATTGAATCTTCTCTGTCTTTTGTGGACTCATTCCTTAGTTATTTGAAGAATTGCTGCAGGACTACTCCGAATTAAAAATTTAGGCTTGCAACAGAAAGAATGAGAGAGAAAAAAATTGGACTCAGCAACAGCTTGCAACTGTGACATTCTGACGGCTATTCAAACCAAAGTGCATATTTCCCGTGTTCGTTTCTGTAGTCATGTGAACACTTGCTCTGAGGAATTCTGACATCACTGTTCGTGTCATAAACTGTTCTGTAGTCATTATCCTGTCACATTTATCACACTCTTCCATAATTTTTGACTGGATCAAATCGGGTTCACACAAGTTAATGAAAGGCACTGCAATATAACAGCGAGGAACGAAACCCGAGAAACTTATCATGTTTGAACCTAACCGTATGACCCGGTGAACATCAATAGAATACAGAGAAAATGGAACTGTTTGGATGTTGCCAAACTGTATTTTTTCCCCCCCGGTGAATGTATGACATTTAAGGTTGCAGAGACCTTTTGAGTGTGCTGAATCAGCAGTAACAAGAAGGCGCTTGAGGCGTTTCACACGGCTCTTGTGTTGTCAGCAGTCATGATGATGAAGCGTGTCCGTCGCGTGGCTTGGATGCAGTGCCGTCATCTGTTTATTTGAGGACACGTGGGAGTGTGGGGTGGGCAGGGCGGGTTTTACAGGATCTGAATCAGTTCTATTACCACGGGCAAAAAGTATTTGAATTCAAATCAATCAATTCGTAGTTTCTTCCCCACAGTTCCCACCAGATTCTTGAGCATCAACCCCCTTACTTTTGTCATTGCGTCTTTGCAATGCTAAACTGCAGCACATACTGCCCCCCCCCCCCACACACACACACTCTTTCTATCTAAGCCCCTGGGAAGCTTTGATTGTGGAGCAACCACAGCCTGCAGCCTAGCTCCACTTATCTACTAAGGTGATGGAGATAAGAGCGCTGGAGAGCATATCGCAGCCGTTGTGGGGGCGGGGCCCGGGTCCTTCGTTTTGTTCATTGCGGAGTGGCACCCAAAGAACACTGGAAAAGTAAGTGTGGAAGAGTAGCTTGGCCCAAAATGTTATCAAGTGACCTTCCCCGAGTCTCCTCACAGCAGATGAGCTCCTCCACGCATGGTTCGTTCACACTGCCGATTGGGGCTCTGAATGTAACGGACTGTTGCAAAGGCTTTTTTACATGAGAGGATCTGAGGATCCTGTCATCTCCTCAGAGAGTCATGGTGAGCGTGGCCAGAAAAGAAAAATGCAATCCGGGAAAAAGCGGTGCTTTGGATGACAGCGCTCAGTTTTCCCTAATTACTGCGCAGGTGCGCCATGTTGTAGGTCTCTGCTGCAGAGTGTCACCGTGTGACATAGAATTGGTGCAAGTAAAAGCCTCAACGACGGAAAAGGTAATTAGTCAAAATGGCGAGTTTTACGCGGCTCCCATAGCAACAGAGCCATCGAGGCCAAATGTCGCGTACGCAAGAGGTGCTTATGGCTGTGCGGCTGGTGGATAGCCGACGTAGCTGTGATGGAGCACTCGAGTATCCCACAATTTGGTGTGCATCGACTCTTCACGGTATATGAGAGATTGATGAGCAAAGGTTTCGAGAATCATGCCTAATTTAAACATTTTTCTTCTCTTTTGGTCAGTGCCAGCAAAGGCCGATTGAAGATTATCGGTACAGATTATCTTTGTTGGGTGTGTTGAGTTATTTGTCATCATTGATCCACTTGAATTATCCTGTGTTGTAGCGTACGTTGAGTGATATATTTTTTCTCTCCCCAATCTGCTTGGAAAATTCATGTATGACTGACCTTCACTACCCTTTCCCCCCTCTTTCTCCGTTGCCGTGTGCGCGCAGGAGCTTCAGTTTGAGCGGCTAACGCGGGAGCTGGAGGTTGAGAGGCAGATTGTGGCCAATCAGCTTGAAAGATGCAGACTCGGGGCAGAATCGCCGGGTGCTGGAAGCAGCAGGTAATGAAACGATTTAACACACACAAACCAAACACATGCCTTTTTTTTTTTCATCCTCTTCTGTGGTGTAAACCTTGCGGCATTCCGATGAAGCAGCCTCTCATTGGACAGTCAGCCTGAATGTTGGTCAATCATGTATCTTTACTCTTGGGCATAATTTTGAAGTGCTTTGAACCAAACACATAATTTCAGTGAACATAAATGTGCTGGCGTTAATGCTCATGAGATTGTTCCAGTATATCAAAGTCTGATATTGTGACAGCACTGGTACTGTATTGTGTAGTATAAATTTTGTAAGTCGTTAATACATCGGAGCTACAGTTTTCCACTGCTATATAGGAGTCCACCGTTTTCGCGTAGTCACATTAGTTTTTTTTTGTTTTTTTGTTTTTTTACAGTCTCCTACCTCCCACGAATCGCGAAAATTCACGAATAATAGATCTGACAGTCATCCGCATAGCAATGGATGGAAATACCACGTTTCCTTAAGATGGAACCTCAAAGGGAGGAGATACAGTGAGAACAGCAGAAGCCCCAGAATTGAGCCCTGCAGAACATCACACGACAGCGGGGCAGTTCGTGATTCGGAGCAACCGAGGCTAACGCAAAACGTTCTGTCAGCAAAATAGGACCTAAACCACTCAAGGGTACTACCGCCAATGCCCACCAAGTGCTGCAAATGAGCCAACAGAATACTGTGACCCGCTGTATCAAATGCTGCGGATTTCCGATGGAAACAGACACACATAGTCTCCACAGTCATTTGCAAGGTGGATGTTATTAAAAACTTGTAACAGGGCTGACTCTGTGCTATGCATCACCTTGAAACCTGTCCATGTCTTCGTCAGACAGAGGAAATCCAAGTCACAAGGCTGTTCTGACTAAATGAAGCGCCTCGCCTCACTTAAACATAGTTCCTTCAGTGATTTTTCTTTTCATCAATAACAGTGGATAGTTTCTGTTTGAATATATTTAAAGCATGTGGGAGGAGTGAAACAATTTCATTAAGAGATGTTTTTATATGGTACTGTAATCCTCCTTGGCGATACCCTTCAGTCATAGCCAATGTTTGTTTAGTTCAGCTGAAAGTTGCGAGACAATACATTTGAGCTAAATACAACTGTGTTTGTTGTGAAAACGCTGAGCCAGTGTTGTGTGCGTGAACACACATTGTGGTGGAGTGTTATTTGCTTGCCGCGGCAGTATTGACAGTGAAGAGCTGTTGGCTTTGGTGTGGGGGATTCGTTCCTTCGTCACCCCTGTTTCACAATTGTGGTACAGATGCTACTGCATGTCCGCTATAACACAGCTGTAGCTCTCAGCCTGCTGCCATGCATCATTCACAAATGGCACACAATGAAGATGTAATACCAAAATGTATAGTAAAGGCGGGTGCGTTCTCTTGACATTGACTTCCTTAAAAACACAAATTCCAATAGATTTTTGTGAAAGGTTTCGCATATGGATAAATAAATAAATGACCTGGAACACTTTCTAATGGGCATGTTATGTCAGTTGTTTCTGAAGTTACTTCAGGGGTTTTACTGCTGTTTTTGATACATCTGAAATTGGAAATCACACTGCCCACTGGAGGGGATGGAGTTGTCTCTAACCCCCCACTCCACCCCCTCCGCCCCTAGGGACGCACCGAAGCGATCTCCCATTGTGATTGAAACACCTTTTTAAGAGACAAATGAAATGGCTGTCATTGTGCACTTGTTTGCAAATGGAGATTAGTTTGAACATTGCAGGTCCCGCTGTGGAGCTCAATAGCTCAGAGGGGTGACGGCAGGGATTAGGGCGCACGCTAGGGTGTCACTTGAAGATGGTAGATTTCGGCACTCCTCCAGACAACGGCAAATGCGGTGCGAGCAGCTTTGAAGCAGAGAAAGAAAGAATTAGCCTACTTTAAGCTACGTTTTCCCAAGTCGTAGTTGTACAGTCACAGAAAGTTGACATGGATTTGATTCCAAAGCCTAATGCTGCGGCATTTGTGGAAACATTTTCAATTCCAGCCAGATGAAACAATACTATCATTTATGGTGATAGTTTCTGAGGAATCTAGCTAGCTAGCTAGCTAGCTATCTACCTGTCTGTCTTGCTAGCTAGCTGTCTGTCTGTCTGTCTGTCTATCTATCCATCTATCCATCTATCCATCTATCTATCTATCAACAAATGTGTTCATCCAGTTGGCTTTCAGCATCCACACTTTCTTGTCATTCGGGTAGCTCCGTCTTTCTTCCATTCGCCATGGCTCAGTGGAGCACATTTCATCGAACTAACTCCTTTTAATTGCCTGCATGCTGCCATTACCGTCCAGCGAGTTGTGCCTCTTAAAGCTCATTATAGAGCCGTATAGGGTCATTGTAACGACGGGTGCTTGATTGTGATGGCCAGCATTTTTTTTTTCTCTTCCCCATCCTCGAAAGGCCTCAAAGTAAAGTGCTTTCATTCTGGTCACAGAGTGTTTTTTTTAAATGATGAAGTGCCTATTATTCCCTTATTATGGTTTTCTGCTGTCGCAGTCGTATATCTTGTCAACCTGCCTGACTTTTCCAGGAGACCAAGCACTTTATTGTATGATGCATCAAATGTTGGAGTACCTGCATTGTCATTGTATTGCACTATTATTTTTATCATTATTCTAACTAGGGCTAGTCAACTATTTTCTGTATTTCTTTATGTTGCTAAATCTATGTGTTGTAATTGCTTTTAAATGTTGGACTTTTAATTGCGGAATGTGAAGCATATCGAGTTACGTTGTGTGTGACTTGCGCGACAAACCAGTGATTCTATTTTTTATTTATTTTTATTTAATTTATTTTACAAGCCCTGGGCTTGCCTATTTTTTTTTTTTTTGAGGGGGGTGGGCACGTATACAGATGCACGCCGGCCATCATGGCTCTTTTGTAACGATTTCTATTGATGTGGACTTTTCTCCATTTGTGTCAGCATCCATCCCTTCGCCTTTTTTCTACACTTGAACTACACTTGCACACTTCACGCTGCTCTGTAATGACGTCGCTTTTGTTGTCAAGCCATCTAACAAATGGGCAGTGCTCGCTCAAAAGTCACCTTTACGGCCAGATGAACAAAAGGTGACAGAAGTGGACTTAACATCTGATTTGTAAGCGTTACACCGGATGACTTCGCTCGTTATAGCCTGGAAGACAGCGATTACCATCTGTGACCCTGTCCCGAAAGGCCAATGAAAAATGTACTTGGTAAACAACGTGTCACTGTCACTGCTCTCATATTCACTTTTTCATTTCCTCTTCTCCACTCGCAGCTCATCTGAGAAGTCCCTCCCTTGGAGAACTGCCGGTAGGTTGGAAATTGCTTCTTATTTTTAATGAAATAGGTATTTTGCTTTTTCACCCATTGCTTGCGCACAAATATGGCTCTGTGCGTATGTACAACAATATTTAGGACCCACTTCAATATTACACGACGTAAGGATGCATTCAAACTATCCTCAATAGTAATGGTTTCACACTTCAGAATAGACATTTACGATTATTAAAAATATTGATAAAGGTCTTCGTCCACCTCCTCAGTCAGTTTCGAGGCCGTGGGAATGATATCAGTATGATAAGTCACCACAAGATGGCAGGAGTGGCTTTGATCAGATCTTGGTCCTTACAGTGGCTGTGGGGTGTGGTACGGCGATCCTACATCACGAGGTGATGTGAGGAAGCAGTGTGGTGTTGAGAGCATGGATGAATACCGGCAGCTATAGCTACAATACAGCTTTTTCAAATCAAAAAACATGATAAAGTCCCATCGTCATCCTTGACGAACACGCGCACACACACGCACATAAGCATACAATTAAAGTGACCATTTTTGTGTTGTTTATGTTGTCATTTAGTTGGAAAGCATTGTTTAGATATTTGAGGTATCACAAATGCAAAAGAAAAAACATCAAAGTGAAAATTCTGCTTGGAATGCATCCTTTCACAAAAAGCTCTTTTTCCTCACAATTTTCCTTGGAAACGAGAAACTAACCAATGTTCAGCTGCTGTGTACGAAAGAATGCTCAAAGGTAGAAATGAACTTGTATTTTCCTGGTGAAAGAAGAGGGTTCAAGCTTTCTTTTTCGATGCCTATATAGCTGGAGAAGTCAATTTTCTGTCAGCCTTCAAAAATGAGTCAAAATGACCAAAAATGGCTCTTGAGAAATACGGCTGGCAGCGAAGGCGTTCATGAGATAATAGTCGTTCAATATCACCGTGCTTTGTAATGTTTGCAATTAACTTTGTTAAGATGGGCGAGTTTACAATAATTGGCAGCCCCGCGGCGTTGTTCTTCCTCTTACCTCCCGTGAGCTTCGGTTTGGAGACACCGCCGGCATGAGGGATTTTCTCAAAAAGCTTCTGTTTGTTCGCCTCACGTCCTCCAAAAACATATTTGAGACAAAGTAGATGGTAACGAATTATTACCAACGCATTTCACGGCTTATTAATTGCAAACATGGGCAGCCGTTATTAATCTTGTTTCGATCTCGTCAGAGAAGCCTGTGGGGGTTTCGCTCGTGCATATGCACCGAGAAAACTGTTGTAAGTCATTTTCTGGTTTGATTTGCGCCGGAGGAGGGCAAAAGAAATAACGGCGACGGTGATGCTTGGCTATTGATTCGTCGTCATTGTGGTTCGGATGATGAACGACTATCCAAGGCGGCGATGCACTTGTTGCGATCAAAACGTGGCGAGGCGCGAGTCCCCGCGAGGCTTATTGGCCTCGTGAGTCACCGCATGCCGCCCGGCATTTGAGACGGAGGTGTTGCCGGGGAAACCGGCCTCCGGCTGCCAGAAATGTCAATGCAGTTACACCTCATGTGGACTAAGACAAGAAAATAACCCCCTCAGCCCCCCCACCCACCCCTCCTTGTCACATCCACAATGAAAGCCTTTTTGTCACTTTTTAACCTGTCAGCTATCTGACATTTCTTTTTTTCATTAAAATTAAAATAGAGGCAACCTTGTTTGACTTAACATGAGTAATTTATTTATTTATTTGTTTTTAATATCGAGCAATTTCACCGCACCGCGTGCAATTTTCGCATATGTCATGTTATTAACAATCCTCGATCATTCAGATTCGGGATGTGTCTGAAAATTTATTCTTCAAACGGATTTGCTGTTGAAGATGCTGCATCAACCAAGTAAAATTACCTTGCCCCCCCCCAAAAAAAAAACCCCCAAACAAACACATAATTTCATTGCAACATTGTGTTTTTGTTGACATCTACCCAAATAACTCATTTAAAGGGGGAGATTGCATTTTTCATCCCGCTAGCAAGATTTGAATTGACACTCATTTCAATTGAGATGGCGAAGGTTAAATATTCAATGAGAGTTCATATTAATCATCAATAAATCAATACATGATAAAGTTGTCCGGTGAAAACGGCATGTACGAATCAGCATGTCATTAATACGTACAAGGTTGTGCCGTGCCGCACTCGGCTCCGTGGTGGTTGCCGCGAAAGCCTTCGCCTTATCCCTGACGAGGCATTCCAGAAACAGGTTACAACCCTGACCTGGCCGCCAGTCAATCGCAGCACACATATGGACAAATTAGTTCCTAACTCCAGCGAGCCCAGAGAACCACTGACCTAAAACAACGAATGACTAAAAAAGGGAATATCCCGTCGTTGCAACTCACTTACTATTGTCGTAGTGACGATTTGTGATTATGGGCAAAACATATTGGCCCTTGGTGAATGCATGTGAGGGAAAGAAGAGAGGGAGGCCGTTTAAGCGACACAATAAAATGCACAGCGCCGTAAAATACATAAGCCGAACTGCGCATGATTATGGACCTAATGTTGCAGAAATTAAAAGAGGAGGCTCGCTGGTAATAAAGTCCCCATCAGCTCAATGAGTAATTGGAGTCTGAAGTCAAACGGATTCCTCTTTGACTGTGTCTCTCCCAGACGCCCCCGCCCCAGGGGACCCCCAGTCACGGCTCGACGGCAGCTCCCGGTCGCCAAGCTACCGCATCAGGATTGAGTCGGAGCAGTTGTCTCCGCGCTCCCCGGAGCAATCTTGCCTCCGTGAAAGTGAGGCTCCGTTATTGCCTTCTGTCTCTCTCCTGCAGTTGCTTTTCCTCAGGGGTTTGCCTTCCTACTCCCGTGAACCCCACTTTGTCACGCTCGATCCGTTCCACACCCACCCGGAATACGGGAAAGTCTGCTATTAAAAACAAACAAACCCCCCCCCCCCAAAAAAAAAAAACAAATAACAAAAAAAAAACCCCGATATCCATTTTTAGGACGTTTTAAATGTATTAAAGCACATTTTAACCACATTGTTAACGTATGTGACCACAAAAAAAAAATTGCAAGCACCGCTCGATAGAAAATACTGTACATATTGTAGGCTTGTATTCGTGTACATGCCTGTGACTTTAAGAGGCGGGGCCTGTTGGGGAGCCATCAGCTATTCTGCGTGCGTCTGCGCATGAGTTGTATCCAACAGAGACTTGTAAGTGAATACGATCACTGTTATATTGTTCTCCTGGATATCGCGCTAAAGTACATCGGCGTCCGTGGCTCTCCTTTCCCACCTGCGAGGACATGACAGGGTCATATTCATATTGATCAATAACGGTAAAGGCATTTGGGGGGAAAAAAAGATTTGAATGAAGCAATTCTTTATGCCGCCTTGCTGATTTAAAATGACAGAGAACATGGTGCTAGTACGCTGAAATACACTCCTCGCATCAGGGTAAAGCCAATATTTCAAATCAAATAGTTTTTCGAAAGGAAATTCAGCGCGGTATGTTTTCACCCGTATTGATCTAATTCTGTGAAAATGACGCACAAATATCCACGGGATGTCGAAAGACACATCAGTGAGGCAATCGCCGTCCTCCTGCTGCGACGCATGTCATTAATCACTCTCCTACAGGTGAAGGTCACGGCTCTTCTCAAAGAATCAATGCCACTTTCTGCTTTCAGGGTCCACGGGGAACTCGCGTAGTTCAACTCAGATGAATTCGTACTCGGACAGCGGCTACCAGGATGCGACCGGCGGTTATCACGGCAGCCAGACGGTGGTCAAATCCGAGCTGAGGATGCAGCACTCCTTCCCCGGCGCGGGTACAAGCATAAGCACAAGCACCCCCGTCAAGATCGCCATGGCGGAGGGGCAGGCCTCAGCACAGGTGTGGTTGCATTCTTGTCACGGCTTCCTCGCCGTAACTTAGAGTCGACACCTTTTCGCAGTGTTTGGAAGCAATACAAGTTTTACTACGGAGCATCTTTTCACTTGACACGTCATACGTTCACACGATCGCGGTCGTGCAAAAGTCTTGAATCATCGTCAAAGCATTCGAAAGAATTAAATTCTTCCCACGAATGGAAAATGTGTTTTGGTCGTCGTTTAGGTGCCATCAGTCAGCGGCGTAGTGCCCGGCCGTGCAATGCGGAGAGTCAGCTCAGTGCCTTCTCGCTCTCACTCCCCGTCCCACGTCAGCAGCACGTCGCCCTCGCACGGCTCCCTGCACGCCTCGGCCGGCAGCGGCTACGGCTCGCCCATCGTCACGGAACCCAAACCCCTCTCCTGCATCTTCTCCACCACCTTGCCCTCCCCCGCCCAGCGCACTGGCGGCTCGCCCCTCACCATTCAGAAAAATTCCCCCGCCGCCCTGCGACGGGTGGGTTCCGCCAACTCCAGACCGGGCAGCACCAGCCGCACCACGTCGCCCTACCAAGCATCGTTGGGCTCGTCGTCGGGCCGCATGGGCTCGCCGTTGACTCTGACGGACAACTGTCAGATGAGCAAGCAGCCCAGTCACTCGTCTCCGGCGCGAGCGAGCATGGTGGCCGTTCCCCAGCACTACAGCTCCACTCTGCCCCGCTCCGTCATCCACAATGCCGACGCCTACGGGCCGCAGGGGTACGACGTTTACGACAAGAGGATGCGGCCCGACAGCCTCGCAGGTACAAAACGCGTGCGCGCTTCTTTGTATGCTTTTTTTTTTGTTGTGAAACGACTAATATTATGTGGATAAACTCGTAACATTACTAGAAAAAAAACCCTCAGAGAAAATAATATATAAATAAAGTATTTTAAGAGTCATAATTTTAAGACAATATGGTTTTCTCAGCATAACGTGCAATTATTTTTTTTTGTCTTTTTCCCCACCCATTTATCTTTCTTGTTTATTAAATATGTTTGTTTTTGCCTCGTTATCATGACTTGGGCTACGTGGCTATTAGGCTAACAATACGTGTCCGTCAAGCCATACTTTGCCCAACGCTGGCCGACATGTTCATGCCTCTTTTTCCAACTGTCTGCTGACTTGTCCAACATGCAAATAGTCAGTGACAAAAGGATAACACGGGACAAATCGTGACTTGTACGGCCATATTCTCCTGTGTTTGTCCTTGCTGCCTGTGGCAAAGTCGCCGTGTGAATCACTGTGTAGTCATTGTGCCGCCTACAAGGCTTGCAGATTGGACTTCAAGGAATGTCATATCTTATATTTGTTCCTTATAGAAACCCAATAATGCTGTAATAACAGGATATTGCATAACATTCCGTTTGTACACAGTACGAAAGGCTTTATCTAACATTTGGACAATTACAGTGAGTTTAATCGGTAACCGAGCACTGAACAGTATTAAAAGTCAGTACAAAACATGCTAAGAACATAATTTAACAGAATGCAAAGAATTAAACAGTTGGTAGGTCATGATTTCATGCTTTAAATCAATGGACATTGCGCCACAACTTCTGGTGTGTGTGCCTTAACCAGCAAGGGGCAGTATAATATAGAAATAAATAAACAAAGAAGACAGTAACATCTACAATAAGTGGCTTAGTAAGCGCTAGCAATATAGTTGTTTTTCCGGAGGGGATAAAGAATATATGCCGTGGGTATTGTCTGTCTTCCTGTGTTGTGCTACCGTTGCTGTTCAACTCTTAGTTGCTTCAAATTTTTACAGCTACCTCAACCTCAAAGCGAGTTCCGTTAACAATGGCGTTTGGCATTGTGTGTTAGCATTAAGCTCGCCGATTTTCATAATTCATGTAAGTTATGTGTAATTTTCCTACGTTTTCTCTTTTGTTTGACACTGACTTTCAACCTAAACGGTTCTATTTTTTTAAAGAATTGTTCGTTGTCTTTTAATTATTTTTATTTCTTTCTTTTTTTTTGAAGTCGGGGCACTTGAAAAGTCCAGGTGCCGCCTGTTTATGTATTTTTCTGAATGTTGCAGAAGGCTCTTTGCAGTCAAATTTCATTTTTTTTTAAGTCGGGCCACTTGAAAAGTCCAGGTGCCGCCTGTTTATGTGTTTTTCTGAATGTTGCAGAAGGCTCTTTGCAGTCAACCCATAATCTGAGGCGGTGGCAGTGGTTGGACTGGAATGCAGCCAAAAATGTTCCCGCAAGAGAACAGCATAAACATGAGCTAGGCCTTGTGTAGACTGCAAGTTACTTTTGGGGCGAAAGAAAGAAAGGAAAAAAAAAAAACAGTCCAAATGAGGCCGTGCATGTTTTTTTGTTTTTTTTATCTTGTCAGAACAGCCAATTTTGCATGTCGTCATGCGGTGGAAGACAATTAAAGGACAAGTTAGGTTTCAATTTTTAATTTTGTCTTACTCTGCCTGGTATAAAAATATTAATTTGGGCGTATTTTTAAGGGGATATTTTTGGTGGCAATGCGGCCTTTCTTTAAAAACAATACACGTGATGTTTTTTTTTTTTTTTTTTTGCTGCAATCCTGATGCTGTAAGGTGAACTGACTATGTGCTTGACTTTGTGCTGCCTGGGGATATCTTCAGACGCTCTGGTGGATGATGACATTCAAGGTGAACCCCCCCCCCCCATCCTGGTTTGTGTGCGACTGTGTGAGCGTTGTGCCTGCTGCAGTCGCCGCATGTGTGCATGGTTGTCCGTCGCGGCCCTGTGCGTACACGCCTCGTTCCCCAACTCCATTTCTGCACATTTGACCACAACTTGCGAAAGGTCGGGATGTCATCATCGTTTTCAGCCGCATGCCTTCACGAGGAATATTGTACCGTTGTTCCTTGGGGCCCGAACACTTCAGACGACACTTTTTTTTTTCATTGGAAGTCAGGTCAAATTTTTCATTCCTGGGTCAAACTTCCCAATTTCTACAACGATAAGATCATACTTTGAAGACACTAGTCTTAATTTTACGACTCAACCCAACCTGAGTTATTTATTTTTGGAGCGTTTCAAAAAAGCAATTAATAATAACAATGTTATTAATAGTAATAATGAAGGATGAAGTTTTAATATGAGCTGTAATTTTGCAAATTTGTCAAGAATATAGTCATCATTTTAGAAAAATTAGTTTTTGTAATTGTAGTAGCCCCCCAAAAATGTGTCATTTAATCAGGTTGTGATTTTGCCCTTTTCTCGCACACAACTGCTTCCAGAGGCCGCCGATGTCGGCTGCTCGGCAAGCTGCGCCGCTCCCCACAGCTGTTCAGCCATCTGACAAATCGGGATGGAGTGAAATGGGGCCTCACACTTCTTCTCCGTGGCTGCGCCGTTAACTTTTCACATTCATTCGACTTAGGAGCCTTGGCTCAAGCGTAGTCGTGCGTCACAAGTCTTTCGTCCGCCTCTTGGTCATTTCCAGTCACTGTCAAGGCAGAGGATGCTTTGGTTGGTTACTCAACATTTCCCCTCCCCACGACTCCCTTCCACCTGGCATCTTCCATGTTCTGCTTCTGTGAATGAAAAAATGCTTTTACAATACTTCCTGCTCCACTTTGCTCCGATGCCCTTGCATGTGGGAAAGGAGAGACACACACACCGGGAAGTATGTGCTCCCACTTACGTGTTCCAGTTAAGAACTGAGCAGCAGTATTTTGAGCCACTGATGATCACCCCCCCACCGTTGAGCGTCTGTTTTTGTCAAGCAGGCGTGCGGCAGGACGCCGCCGAGCACCGAGTGTAATTTGTAAAAAGCCACTCTTGAGAGGATTCTGTCGAGGAGAATTAAATGACTCCAGTACACGCGGAATGCGAGCCATTCATCCTCGGCGTGACAGCGGTGCTCGGCGCGGTGTTTCTGCTAAGCTATTTGCACATGCTGTTTACACAAGCCTGCAAGGCTACAATCCGTTCTAGTGTAGAAGGCACCAAAGATGCATGTCTTCAAAATGTCTGTATACTGTGTGCTTTGATGCTGGGGGTGGGGGGGGGGGGGATCTGCATTTGTCTGGGAGAGAGCACGTCCTTCTCCTTCAGTCCGCCAAACATCTTGTGGCTTCACGCTAGAGACTTCTTGGGTGGTGCCAACTCATTAACCCCCCACCCCCCACCTCTTCTCTCTCTCTCGTATAATACAGTATATACTAGGGCCCAACACAATATTGACGCTTTTAAATCGGCAAAAAGTTTTTGGGGACGATTTTTGCCATTTTCTTTTTACACTTTAACACAAAGATGATTTATGTTTATGGTAAAGTTAAACAAATACCAAAGGCTATCGTGCCGGTTTTTTAAAACTGTCAGAAATCTGCCTGTGATTCATCTCTTTATTGCTGGAAGCATGAAGGGACCAAATAAGGTTTCTTTTTAATTAATCCGTCGTTTAACTCTTTCAGGGACACCGGGTACTACCGTGGACTTAAAACTGTCAGAAATCTGCCTGTGATTCATCTCTTTAATGCTGGAAGCATTAAGGGACCAAATAAAGATTTTTTTTTTTTAATTAATCCGTCGATTAACTCTTTCAGGGACACCGGGTACTACCGTGGACAGCTTACCATGTTATCAGGTTACAGGGTACATGAAAGGTTTAATCAGTTATCCGAGGTTTATTCTGCCCAATATCTAAATCAACATCAACCTCCAAAAAAATCTGAATATTAAAAAAAAAAAAAGCTTGTGAAGATTGCTCTACTGTCAGTCTACATGTGTTGCTCCTGCTTGTCTTCATAAGTTTGAAGTTGTTTAAAGGTTTATGATTATGGATAAATCGAAGCTAGTTTCCGTATCCCCTCTATGGTGCTTTGCATTGTGTGTTAGCATTAAGCTAGTAGGCCTGACAAGGTGAAACTATTTTTTACGCTTGATTTTCCAGTAAACCTTAGCTTGGAGTGACATCCATATATTGTTCCCTTTAATTGTCTCAATGTTATTACTTTTCCCCGCCAATAGTACCGCGTTATTCTTGTACTTTCTCTTTTTTTTTTTCCTTGACAGCGGGACACTAATACTCTTCCGTCCTGTGTGTATCTAAAACAAAATGACAGGAAACCGCATAGTTCTGTTTGCTGTGCACGATGAAATGGCTTTGTCGTACAGTAGGAGTAGACCCACGAGGCACACGGAGGCTGATGAAATGTTCAATGAGCGTTTAATCGGCAACTGTATCCCGGTCCTGTGGGCTTCACAGTGTACCGGGCGCCGGCGATGTGAGAACTTTAAATACCTACTTTGCTGTTTTTTTGTTGATTTGTTTGGGTGAGAGCAAATCAAACCTCATCACCATTCGATGTAATCTCATTCCAACCCATTCTCTTGTATTTGCAGGCATGCGGAGCACATATGCCAGTCAACACAGTCAGTTGGCCCAGGACTTGAGGTCCAGCATATCCCCGGAGCGTCGCATTGCGCCCATCTTTGAGGACCGCATGTTCCAGGCCCCATTGTATCTCAGCCCGGGCCACACGCAACAGGGCACCATCTGCAGGAGCGCCTCAGGTTTGATACATAAAAATTGTAATGCTACATTTTTGCAGGCGAACGTTGACAGTGTTGGCGCTGGTGTCCGTAGATTCGAGGTGCGTTGTTTTTGAGGAACACAATATCTCGGCCTGTCTGCCCCTTTAGCACCACAAATGTGCCTTTCATTATTTCTGTCCCTTGCTGTCTATCCATTCTCGCGTTCGCTCCCTCCGGCACAGGGCACAAAAGGCTTGGCTGAGGCATACCAGGCAGCTATTGTTATGTCGCGCCGCCATAAAGGCGCCCATTACTTAATTTTCATAGTGGCTGTATGAGAAAATTGTGTAGTGACCAGGTGACTGCTTGTTTACCCACATTCAGTGGTGCCGAGAGATATGAGTTGGAAGTCAAAACATATCAAAGCATCTTTTCCTGTTAAATTGAATGGAAATGCTATTAATCCGTTCCACCCTCCAAACGACAGTGGTTACTTCATTTTTCGGAATTGTTTTTTCAAATGTCTTAGAGCCATGAGTGATTCAGCAAATAAAATGATCAGCTGCAGAAATGAATTTGCACGCAAACTTCTGCGCTGAAGCAACACAGCTGTCCATTTATCACAAAATAGGCTTATTCCGCATCAAAACCTGTTTTAAATAATGCCATTGTCATTTTTTTAAATAGGCCCAGGGAGGTAATAAAGTAAAAATAATCTTTTTGCATAAAAGATTTATTTTTATGAAAAAAAATGTACCTGTCTATATATAATTTATATCAAGTTTTAAGGCCATATTGCCTCGCCTTTTTTTTTTTCAATGATTTATACGATGTGAGTTTTCTCTGTGTACCTCCTCCGTGCAAATGGGCACTTTTTATAGATATTGATCCTTTTCTGAAAAATAAATGTGAGCTTAAATCAAAAATAGTGAGTCTAAAATTGCATTTTGGGCACACTATGTTTATACTAATCATCTGGTACATTGGCCTTACGCAAGAGCAGCCATGTGAGGAAATTGTGTTTTTGGAGCAGCAATTCACAGCGGCTTCTGATAGGAAGGAGGGATTTGGAGAGAGGAAATGCTCAAAGTCGATGGAGATCTGACTGCCGCAACACAAGTGCGAGAGGCCGACAGCTCATTTATGTGCCCAAGTACTCACACTCTGTATTTAGGTAAAAGTACACGAGCGTAAGAGGATAGGAGAAAGTACACATGTCAAATAATATTCATAATAACTTGAATTTACATAAAGCCTTTCAAAAAAACAAAAAAAAAACAAGGTCGCTTTGTATCGTATGGGTGAAAGGCCATGATGAAAACGTGTGTTTTGATGGCTGCTTCAAAAGCCAATGAATATTCTTATTCTGTCTTATTTTAAAGGGGGAGTTTGCCGTTTTCAAATCCCCTGGCAATATTCGAATGTATCTTCACTTCAAAATAATGTTCGCCAAAATAATGCGACCAATACTCAGCTAGCATCAGCAGTATCAACAATGTTGCTAATTCCGCAAGTGACGTATGCTGTCTGCGATTTTGCTCTCGCAGTTAATGATAACATCTTCCCTGACCTACACCTGAAAAAAATACGGCAACAAAGTATTTGTACTTTGTCACCTCCAACCAATGTTTGGGGTAGGTGCCATTGTATGAAAAAAATCAGGTCATGGTATCACTTTTAGGGAATGAAAGAACTTTGTCTGGAGGCATAAGCGTCCACTCGGCATGTCGTAAGACACTCCCTTCTTTGCGCGTGGGTATCCACGGTAGCTATTTCGGGCAGGTCTCGGCTTAACGTTGCCACTCTGCTGTGTTTGGCAAGATTAACTTATAAGCATACGGTGGCACAGGGCAGCGGGAAGGAGCGGAGGAGAGGATTTGCAGATCCTCACGCAGGTTGATTTTTGGTTTCCCCCGAAAGCAGTCAAAGCCCTCCTGGCTAAATGCAATCTTCTTAAAACAAAGCAACGAGCAAGCGGGCCTTTTGAAGAAGAGGAGTCTTTTTTTTTTATTTTTGGGGCGAAACCATGGGAGCTGTGTTTTATCCGTAACATGAATCGGTTCCAGATTTGAGAATCTGCCACGTCTGCCAGAGCGGCTGTGTCTTTGTAGTTTCAGTTTGCTCTTGGCGTTCTTAACCCGCACCTCTGAATGCAGCCAATCTCACCTGGATTTGTCCATTTACGTGCGCGGACCGTTTGGATTTCATTTCTGAGGGCTTTGCTTTTTTGGCCTCAGGTGTGGGGAGTCTCCAGCGGACGCCCAGTGCCATGACCTACCAAAGAAACAACTTGGCTCTTAACACAGCCGCCACCTATGCGGATCCCTATCGCTCGGCGCAGTACCGGCCGTGCGATTCCAATTACAGTCGGCAGGCTGCTATTATCGACGATCCCACCCGCTCGCCCTCAATAGACAGCATCCAGAAGGACCCCAGGTAGGCCCTGCTCCTGCTTTTCAAAGTTTCTGATTTGTCAGTGTAATGACATATTCGGGTAGAGCAGCTGCTTTTCCTCTGCATGGAACCTGCGCAGCCCACCACCGTTTTACTTGGCAGCGTTTTTACACCGCATTGAAGTATAGGGCGGTCTCTCTCTCTCTCTCTCTCTCTCTCTCTTATTACACACAGTAAGATACAAAATCTGCCTTAAGTTTTTATGCATTTATTTATTTATTAAATCTTAGTTTGTTTGTGTTTGAACAAACAGGATTCTCTTCGTCCGGGGTATGTTTTTTTTTTTTCTTTGCTGTTACGCATCAATCTGTTTTTTTTTTTACAGGGAGTTTGCATGGCGCGACCCGGAGCTGACAGAGGTGATTCACATGCTGCAGCACCACTTCCCCTCCGTTCAGGCCAACGCAGCCGCGTACCTTCAGCACCTCTGCTTTGGCGATAACCGAATTAAGGCCGAGGTAAGCACTTATCCGATACTGTCGAGCCTTTGCTGGCCAGCGAAACAAACTATGGCAAGAACTGCGCGTTACAAATACAAGGCACGCCGCTCATTGTAACAAGATTTTTTTTGGGGGGGGGGGGTAATTGTTTCTTTTTTTTTTTTTTTTTTACATATTGCGAGCCATGACATCCATTTACAAGAAGCTGAGCTGCACTGTGTACAGTATGTTTGCAGACTAGACGTGTGGCTAGCAAACAAGGCAGTTATATTTTTGTGTTAAAATGGACAATGACACATAGAAATGATTGGAAAGAAAATAAAATGAAATCCAACATCCACATATATGTACTTGGAGGCAGGCGCAGCCAAGAGAAGTGCTAGCATAACGAGAATAGACTGTTGGGAATAAATGACTCTCATACGATATCAAGGAGCAAATATTAGAATGTAGCAGGCCAACCACTGATAGTTCTGCGCTTCACAGTATCCGTATGTTGGTCGCCGTCATGGACTCTCCCTGCAGGTGTGTCGGCTCGGCGGCGTCAAGCACCTGGTCAACCTGCTGGACCACAAAGTCCTCGAGGTCCAGCGGAACTCCTGCGGGGCTCTGAGGAACCTCGTATATGGGAAAGTGATGGACGAAAACAAGATCGCGCTGAGGAACGCCGGAGGCATCCCGGCTCTGCTCCGACTGCTGAGGAAGAGCGTCGACGCCGAGGTGCGGGAGCTCGTCACAGGTGAGCTGGCAAGTCTCCGTTTTTTTCGGTCGATGGCTTGGGGATTCGTTCTGATTCAGTCCGGTTTGTTTGCATGAACGACGAGATTGACGGATGTCTGTCGTGATTGCGCAAGTGCTGACAGGACCTTGATTGCATTTGATTTAAAAGAGACATATGACTGTCAGTGTGCTTTTTTTATGGGGGGGGGGCAATTCGTTCCCAGTCGCCTACATAAAAAAAAAAAAAAAAAAAAAAAAAAAAGGTCTTTGACTTTCTTTGGTCAAAATACACACACAAAGGACAAAACAACATTATACATGTTTTTGGATTGGAACAGGTTATTTTCACCATAATTGTTTCACAAATATTTCATTCAGAGCAAATTGGATTCATGTTTTTACTGTTGCAGACACGCCTTCTCGTTGAATTGTATTTATTTTTTGTATGTTGACACTACCGACAGCAGCGGATTGTACGCGTCTCGCTTTTGTTTGTCATCTGAGCCCGGCAAACGTGCTGCAAATCCGCACTGTTTGGGATGAGGGTGGAGCAGAAATGAGCAAGCCAAGCCATTTGGCTCCCAGGTGGTTGATTCAGCTGTTTTTGCTCAGCTTTAGCCCAAGTTCCAACTGTTTCGGGTTACGGCTCCAATGGTTATGTTTTTTTTCCAAGATTAAAAAAAAAAAAAAAAAAAAAGGACAGACTAACACAGTACTGTAGTATATTTAGTTGGCGGGGGTTGACGTGAGAAACGAAACACCTCTTAGCTTCAGCAAAAATAACATCACTGCCGCTAAATTGAAATGAGCGGCAGAATGCCTTTTAGTGTACATTATTTAAGTGAAGCAAGTACACGGTGAAAATCCATTAAAAAGGATCGCTTCAACTAAATGAACCGCTGTAGCTGACACAACCGCTGCTGTCGAGGGACATCCAAAACGAGTTCCAAGCCACTTCTGCGTGACACCACCGGGGGCTCCGGGTGATCGTTTTGCTTCATTAGCGTTAACCCTTTCATACACCAACAATGATAACCTGTAACCCGATAAGCTGTCCACTAGAGTGACCGCCGTCCCTGAAAGGGTAAAACCAGACCACCCTGCTGCTCCAGGTCAGGGGTCATGTTATCTGGACACAGAATAGCCGCGTCTTTACCTGCCCGCTCTTCTTTCAGCTGTCGCGGTTTATCGCTCCGTCCTGAAACCGACTCTTGAGATCACGGGGGTCAAACATCACAGCTCTGTCGTTTGTCATGAATGGCCTGGAACCGCTCCTTTGATAGGATAGAACTGTCCTAAAACTTTCGAGATGAATCCATCCATAACTTTAGACGGGGGGGGGGGGGGGCACCGGATTCAAAAGTTGAAAGGTAGTTTGGGGGTGTACAACTTTGAAGACGTTCAAGTGCTCGAGAGAAATTTCAGTCGATTTATGTCAGCGGTGTTGCAGATGAAAACAATGGATTTGTCTTGAATGGTGACATTTGCACTCTCTTTAAACCGCGCATAATCTCCAACCTGCCAACGAGTCACTCGCTCACGCCAGACTTCAAATAAATAGGTCTGTGTCTTAAGATAAAAAGTAGTGGCGTCGCTCCCAGAATGCTCAAGGCAAGGCTCTTTTACGTGTGTGTGTGTGTGTGTGTGTGTGTGTGTGTGTGCGCGCGCGTGTGTGTGTGTGTGTGTGTGTGTGCGCCTTTTCTGTGTTGATAAAGAAGCCAAATCCCAAATCAGTTGTCAGCCATTTGTTAGTAAAAGGAAGCGAGTCAACAAATTAGCACGCGAAAGGCCTTCTGCTTCTTGCTTCTTTGACTCTGTCAGACACGCAAAAAGACCGAGCCGGTTTCAAGTTGTTTCGGTTCATAGCTCGGTGCCCGCATCTGTCGCCTTTGAACTCGCCCTTCCTTTTGCTCTCTCGAGCGTTGCTCAAGAGACACATTACAGGTCGCGGTGTCATAACATTGACCAAAGGTAAACGCATAAATGGAGTTGGTCTTTCTTAAGTGGGTCAAACCACCAAAGAACATGTCACGGAGCAGAGAAGAAGACGGACGACTCGACCTTTTGGAAGTGCGAAAGATGATTTATTGGCATTGTCGCTCCTGCTTCCTTTCTGACAGCCTTGTCAGTCATCCGTGCCATTTTGGATGCTGTCCCCGAACATGTCCATTGGCTGAAAGTCACATGACAGTGAGGTGGGTGTGAAGGCGCCGAGCAGTAGGCAAGCGGTTTCGTGGAGTCAAAGTGACCCGGCGTGAGAATTCTTGATTCGACATGAATGTGAATACCGTTGAGCGGGATGTCACTTCTAAAGTCTGAAGACTTTGGATTCAACGGATGTTTTATCGGGGCGAGCCCACCAACCCTGAACCAGTCTTTAAGTGTACTCCCGGTCTTGCTTTAGTGGCCTCAACGGAATCCCAGTATGAGACAATGGCACCCCAACCAAACCTATTGGATGCAACTGCCTGCCACATCCTGAGCAAATACATTGAAAAATTTTTCTTCAGGATACACTCGCACTCGCACACGAGCTCCGGGGCGAGGCACATCCTCTATGTGAACTTCTGAGAACGTCTGTATTTCTCTTTGATGTTTTTAGTCAAAAAAATGAAATGATGAAATCCTCGGCGTGGACTGAAGGCTTTGACTGGATTAACGTTCTCCAAATTAGAGGCGCGGCGTGTATGTTTCAAGCTGTTCGTCACTTCCAGCTGACTGCACACTAAAATGTTAAACTGAAACATATACTTTTGTCTCCTGAAAGCTGAACGCTAACTTACACGTAATCCTCAATGTAAATTAGCACACAGCAAATGTTACGGTAATGTGATGCCCGCGTACTGGGTAAACCCATGAAAAATGATTGCCCATGAAGACAGAAACATATGATTTAAATCGGACTTTTCACATAGTCAAGCGTCGTCATATTGTTATCACGTCGTTTATTTGCAACGCGCGCCTTCTCTAATGTTACTGGTGCGCCGCAGAAGTCAGGCCGTGCCGCAGCGTAAGCCTGGCAGCGAGAGGCATCTAATTAGAAGAACATGCCACATACTAGCTAATCCCTGACAGATGCAGCATCAAAGGCTGCCAAGGACTGTGCAGGAGCAACAGTGGCGACTACCAAAAAGAGAAAAAAAAAAAGGACATTTGAATTGAGTGGAAAGAGGGCATCGTTTTTGAAAGACTTTCATTATTTATGATCCATTTCATATGTTGGAGCAATGCCCTTTTCCTCCCCAAAGGTATTTTGCTGTGATGTGGAAGATGAATGTGCATGTCTAGTTTCAGGCAGGGGCAGGGAACCCTTTTCCGACCGGGGGCCATTTTGGTATTTATAACACCCTCATGGGGCCTTACGAAATTGATGAAAATATGGTGAATGACCGTAAATGGCCCACAAGCCATAGTTTCCATACCCCCGCTCCATAATATAAGACATATTACGCGCTACGCGTGTTCCATCTTTGTTCTCAACCGGGTCGCTGAAATACTCCCATACCACCTCAATGAGCAAGCGGGGTCCGCAATTTCACTGATGTTAGTTATGCTAGCCATTTTTCTACCGCTGCGCTCTTCTAACATACTTTAACCTTTTTATGCGCCCTATAACTTGATCACATGATAAGCTGTCCACTGTAGCAACCGCTGTACCTGAAAGGGTTAACTAGCATTAGCATTAGCGGAAGCCGCAGTTTTGTCATGGCATGCTGTAGTATGCTAGCTAAAGAAATGTTTTCAAATGAACATAAAATGGTACTATGATGGATGGAAAGATGGGTGAAAAACAAGTCGCTGTCAATAAAAAATGAGATTGACCAAAAAAAAAGAGATAAGAATTATGATTTTAAGTAAGCTAGCAATGTGAGCTCATATCGCTGGATCTGGAATAGAGGTTTGTGTCTTAGCGTGTTGCAGTTTTCAGTTTCGATACGATATTGTTCCAGCCAAGCATAAGTTCAGGCAACAAGGCTTGGTTAACCCAACTATTTCTGTGGTGCCGGGTGTGGTCATTATGCAAATTACCCCCACTTTTACATCAAAGTGGAGGGAAAGGGCAAATGGCTCGCTCACTGGCATTCTTAGCGTTCACGAAAGATTGTTGTTTAATTTCACACTTGATGGGTGGACAAGCGCTGCAGAGATCCAACTATTACAGAAACGTTTGAAAAAAGAAAATCAATTTATGGCCTTTAAGAATTTCCACTGAAGGTCCCCTGCATTAACACGCCCCCCCCCCCCACCACACCCCCTCAACTTCACACAGCTATTAAAAACCCCAAATTGTCAGGCCTTCTCTGCGGGTCCACCCTAAGTGCACCCGACAACTGACATACCCCGAAGGCTTGCGTGCGTGCGTCCGTCTCAGTCGTCCGTCCCTGCCACCAGCCCTCGACTTGACCGCGTTTGCGTGCGCCGTCTCCGCAGGGGTGCTGTGGAACCTGTCGTCGTGCGACGCCGTCAAGATGACAATCATCCGCGACGCCTTGACCACCCTGACCAACACTGTGATCATCCCCCACTCGGGATGGAGCAGCTCCACCTTCGAAGAGGACCATAAGCTCAAATTTCACTCGTCGCTGGTGCTGAGGAACACCACAGGTTGCTTGAGGTAACCACCTGATGCGCACGCTCGGCACACGAGCACCTCCATGTGGTCGTGTTGCGTCACGTACAATTTCAAATCCTTATTGACTGGATGTGAAAAAAGCTTGCAGGTTTTAGAGACAGACCGGCGTGGCCAAAGTACTCACACTCTGTTCTTTGGCAGAAGTAAGGACAATTGAATAAGCATGAAAAAGCAGCAGTGAACTCAACTTACTTCCCAACAGGCAGCAGTTTGTCAGAGAGTAAGATGTATCGATACGTTTAATGCCACGACCGGTTAAGGTTTATTGTCATACTAAACACAAAACAAAAAGAATAACCGCATAACTTTGCCCTAAAGTCCGCTATCTTCATGCTAACACCTCTTGGGAAACAAATATACACTGTACCCCATTAAGCAATGGCTTTGAGCATTGGATACAAAAAAAAATGTCTGATGTTGAATTTGTATTTTTTTCATTTATGTACAACACTTCATCTGTTGGGTGTTAAATTATTATAGAGATAAAATTGAGTTGTGTGGAACAACACATATAATAATACTTACAGGCATATATTCTTTATCCTCTGCAAGGTACAACTAATATTACTGCTTTTACTGCAGACGTCTGTATCATACTGCCCCCAGGTGGCCAAAGCGTGAACACCAGAAGAAGCAGCACCATAGGAATTGAACTGAAGCAAAAAAAAAAAATGGTGACAAAAACGGTGTCATTTCTGGACATTATGTTTAAGGTCGTGTCATTAGGGCATTTTTGAAAAGTAGCATATTATATATATTATATTTTCTCATTACAAATCCAATTACAAAACTTCTTGGCGGGAGGCTGGAGCTTATTAATGGCACTTCCCTTCACTTCAGTGGGGTAAGATGAATCGAGACTTGAATGTTTTGAGTTGCGAGCGTTACGCTCGTATCTCAAGGCACCACTCTTCATCTGAACAACGCCGCATACAACCCACATTTTGTGTTAGTGCCTTTGATGGTCGTATCACCCTAAACGATGATGTCACGCGTTCTTGCTTTTCTCCGATTGTCGTCCGTGTGTGTGTGTGTGTGTGTGTGTGCACTCAAGGTAAGAGGGGATGATTTCAGTCAGTCAGACCACACACGCACATTTCATCCATAATAGATGGTGTGCAGGAATGATTACACAAGTGGAGCAGACACACACTGATCTGTCATTTGGTATGTTTGCACACCCGCATAACGTATGTGTCTGTGTGCATGTCTTTGTGTGGCTGCTTGCATGTGTGTGTGTGTGTGTGTGTGTGTGTGTGTGTGTGTGTGTGTGTGTGTGTGTGTGTGTGGGTGTGTGTGTGTGTGTGCGCGCGCGCTGTGTGTGTGTGTGTGTGTGTGTGTGTGTGTGTGTGTGTGTGTGTGTGTGTGTGTGTGTGTGCGCGTGTGCGTGCTCTTTGAACAGGAACTTGAGCTCAGCTGGCGAGGAGGCCCGAAAGCAGATGCGCACCTGTGAGGGGTTGGTTGACTCATTGCTCTACGTCATCAAAGCCTGTGTCAACACTTCAGACTTTGACAGCAAGGTACACACACTCAACACATCGCACAGAGGCGCACGATTGTTCAGCCAAGAGGAAAACATCTCAACGCATAAAATGTGTCTTAGTTTGAATTTTTTAAATCGCCTGACACACACTGTAAGCCAAACAGCTGTTGTTTTCCCCAAAGTGTTTGTTTACAGTCTTTGTTACAATTCCTGCTTAATGTCAAACACCCAAAGCATGTGGATGTTCTTTTGACCAAATGTCTCCGTGTGGCCTCCCTCATCAGATAGTGGAGAACTGCATTTGCACACTAAGGAACCTGTCCTACCGTCTGGAGCTGGAGTTGCCCCCTTCGCGCCTGATAGGGGTGCAGGAGGCGGACGCCATTTTGGGAAGCGAGTCGCCGAGCAAAGACATCAGCTCCAGCTGCTGGGGGAGGAAGAAGAAGAAGAAGAAAAAGAACTCCCAGGAAGACACTGTGAGTGTGGCAGGACGGCAAAGAGAATGTGGACTAGTCATAATGACGTTCGAGGGCGAAATGTCAGGATGAACCTGAATTTTGTGAGAATTTTAGCATCACCTTGTGACAAAGTGCTGCCTTTGTATCCTCAGTGGGATGGAGTGGGACCCATCCCAGGCTTCTCGAAACCACCCACGGGCGCTGAGATGCTTTGGCACCCCGCGGTGGTGAAGCCTTACTTGACACTACTCGCAGAGAGCTCCAATCCTTCCACACTAGAGGGCGCCGCCGGGTCACTTCAGAACCTGTCGGCGGGCAACTGGAAGGTACATTTCGGTTCAGCTCTCGCCATTTCAAACACATTTGATAGTTCCTCAGTGATGATCGTGCTTGGTTACATGTCGGGAACCTCACCAAATCCATTTTCATCTTTGCTATTTTGCCTTTTTCCCTCCTCGTGTCTTTGGAGCAGTTTGCAGCGTACATCCGTGCCGCAGTGCGTAAGGAGAAAGGCCTGCCCATCCTCGTGGAGCTACTGCGAATGGACAACGACCGGGTGGTGTGTTCGGTGGCCACCGCACTGAGAAACATGGCATTGGATGTCCGGAACAAAGAGCTCATAGGTAAGGGGCTCACTATAGCAGACACACATTGACATTTGACTCCAGATTGAATAACACACCCAGTGTCCCTTTGCTACATGAATGCTTGCGTAAGAAGCACGTTCAAATGGATGGCTGGGCTATTATCGCGATTTAAATGTTGGCTTCTCGCGATGATAAAAACATGACGATCACAGAAAAACGATTCACGTGTCCAATGATGCGGTGTGTGAATGCCCGTATAGCTTGCAGGTAGTATGTGCCTTAAGTTCTTTTCCCTGAGACTACTTTTAAGTTGTTTATTGACACCCCATTTGAAGTTTACTGTAAAACTAAACACACGATGAAAACATTTACACACATTGGAAAATTGACACACAACACCTACTTAATTTTAGAAACATCATTAGCTTATGGCTAGCAGTCAATTGAAAGCCCCATTGACCAGCTAGCATAAATTAGCATTGGAAGTTACGGCAGGGATTTACCTTCAAGTCATCACTCAGTCACAGAATATTAGTGTTGATTAACCGCAATTTCACTATCACTCAAAATAATTGTGATTTTTTTTTTTTTTTTTGCCTAATTGCCAAAACCTACTGTAAATTAAATCAAAATTGTTGACACACCAACTGTTGTAAAACATTTCGCGCAAATTCATTCTACTTAAAAGTTAAATAGAACTGAATAGAATTTGCAAATATACGATATGTATGTAAACATACGGTGTCATTGAACCAACTGTGACGAATATCAAGTCACCTAAGTGAATATATTGGCTTCTGTACTTGTAATCCACACACCAAACCGAGCATCGGGCCTCGTCACAACCTATTAGCTTCACGTCTCCGTCCTCGCTGTTAGGGAAATACGCCATGAGAGACCTGGTCAACCGCCTCCCCGGAGGAAACACCACCTTGCTGTCGGATGAGACGGTGGCGGCCATCTGTTGCACCCTGCACGAGGTCACCAGCAGGAACATGGAGAACGCCAAGGCCCTGGCGGACACGGGCGGCATCGAGAAGCTGGTCAACATCACCAAAGGCAGAGGGGACAGGTAAGGCCAGCCAAGCGCACGATTTTTGTCAAAAATCAGGGAACGGCCAGAACACACAAACACATTTGTTCGGAAGTGCATTTGTGCCATCTGAGGTGAAATTCAACCATCAAATTTTCAAACACACAATTAGACACAGTAAATCTTTTGGTAGTTTTTGGTCATCGAAGGACATTTTGAGACCCAAGTTTTAATGAAAAAAAAAATCACTGCTCAAAGTTCGGAAATAAACCTCACATGGCACATGAAGAATTTGTGGTATTATGTGTCGTCTGAGTTTTACTTTTTAAGAATTTTTTTGACAGTGAATTTAATAAATAATTAAATTTTTTGAAATTTGGTGATTAAAAAAAATATCAATTAGTTTTTTTTTATACTGCTATTTTTTTTAATTAAAATGAAAAATGAATTTCTTTTGAATTTAAGACGTTCAATTTTTGACAATGGCTTTTTGGATGGTAAAAAAAATTCAACTTTCCTTCCAGCTGAGACAAAACAATTTTTCATCCTGAAAATTCACACTAATATCCTTCACCTCCATGTGAGTAGTGTATGAAAAGTTATTTTATTTTATTTTATTTTTTTGCAGATTTTCTCTGAAAGTGGTGAAGGCGTCCGCTCAGGTTCTGAACACGCTGTGGCAGTACAGAGATCTACGCGCCATCTACAAGAAAGTAAGAACTTGTTTAATTCGTATTGATTGTTTGACTTCTGTCAGAAAAAAAAAACATCACCTGTCAAAATGAATATTGAAATATACTCGTGTATTCGTGGCATAATTTAATCGTATGACGTAAAATGTCCTCCATTTGCATTTCCTAACATAGGACGGATGGACCCAAAACCATTTCCTCACACCGGTATCCACCCTTGAGCGGGACAGGTTCAAGTCTCAGCCCACCCTGCCCACCAACAGTATCCAGATGTCCCCCCTCAACCATCCTGGTAGGCCGTGTTGCTTTTGGCGCACACCGCAAGCGCGCAACGCTCCCCTCACACGCTGGCTGCTCTTCTTCCTCTTGTAGCTGCCAGCGCCATGTCGTCTCCGGCCATTCGCGATCACACCCTGAGGGATTATCAGAGAGCGCAGTCAACTATGCAGTTTTATAACTACCAAGTGGACAACAGTCTTCACAAAAAACACTATCCAGGTACTGGGGTGCTCCAACTCTGCTCTGGTATTTCCTTTGACCTTTGGGAAATGGGAATTTACTCAACATTAAAAAGTGGTTTGATTGCCAATACAGCCCACAAGATGGTGGCAAAAGCACACCTTTTTTTTTTTTGTCTCAGTCAAGCTCCTCTACTCACTTCAGCATAGTTCATTGGCACGGGATGCTTGCCACAAAATGGCAGCAAAGCACTTTTTTTTTGTCTCGGTGAAGCACTTCAACTCACTTCAATATGGTTCATTGGCACCAAAAATCCACAGGATGGCAGCAAAGCAGCGCACGCTTTTATCTAAACGAAGCGTCTCGACTCACTTCAACGTACGCAATGTAAACCAATCATATCGTAGCCTTCCGGTCCGCTAGCTTAATGCTAGTGCTAATGAACTTGTATGTTACCATGTTTTAAATCTTGACGCAACGGATTGAAACCGAAATGTGCGGCATCAACATGTACACTGACAATATGACAGTACTCATATTCATACAATATATGAATGAGATTCAAAATGTCTCACTAGAAACTATAAAGTACAATATTATGGAGTGATATTTTCACAATTTTAAGCGTTTTTTTTTTCTGCGGTGGGACTGGAATGGATTTGTAGCATTTTCATTTATTTTAAGTCATCGCTATTACAATATCGGCGGTCCATTTTTTTTTTTTCTTCACAAAACCATGTCAAATTTTTTTCTTTTGGAGGGTGCGGGGGGCCTGGAACAGATTAATGGCATTTCAATGGGGAAGGTTGAGAAAGCAGCATTGTATCTGGTCTCTCTTTATGTAACGTATGCCCCGCAAATGTTTTTTTACAAGTAGCCTGCTCCAGGATGCATTGTGCCTTCTTTTTAAGTGGATTTCAAGTGCTTGTTCCAAAATGGCTGCTGCTGTGGATTCGTCCCCCTTTAGCTTCTTCGAGCTTGCCTCAGTCCTGGCTCTCTGACACTTCAGCATGCGGCACTTGAGAGCCGCAAAACACTAAAATGGACCCGCTAGTCTATACCGGACCACACAATAGTGTTATTATTGCGAGTGGGGGGCTGCGGGTGTCGCTGGGTGGGTACGCCAGACGAGAGCTCTTACCAGCACACACTCGCTGGCAGGAGAGTGGGAGGGCAGAATTTAAAAAAAATAAAAAAATAGTGGATTCCAGTGGCGAGACGGCATGCTAACGTAAATCCCGATCTCCGTGGGCTGTGTAAACAAGTGGAAAGCAGCAGCCCGACGCTTTGATTTTCCTTCTATGGGGACGGACATTCCATTCACGCATATTTGAAAGTTTTGTACTCTGATTGCAGGGTCGGGAAAGACTTCTTCGTACTACTACCCGTCGCCTACGCGAGAGGAGCCCAGAAGAACACAGGTGAGATCATTCACATTTTTTTCCTTGTAAATGTACTTTTTGGCTTTTTTAATATTGACATACCTGTATATGCATATATAAATGTACACACACACACACACACACACACACACACACACACACACACACACACACACACACACACACACGTGTGACATTCTCATTCATTCCTTCTCCAAGTCAGAGAAAGGCGCGACCGACTCTTGTGTCATGATAAATCACCGAGTGAACTGAAATATTCGGGTATTGACTTCTACATTTGTTGCATCTCTCTTCGGACCCGTAAGGCATACATCATAAAATGTGCCATCCTTGGGAATCAATGTTTCCCCCCCTAGGTGGTATCTGATATTTTAATTGCACATAGATCACAATGACCAGACATTTGAATGGGGTGTGTAGACTTTTCATACCAACCGCTGTATATCATGGTGATGTCATCTGTAACGTCGTCCTGTGGGTGTCTTCTTCCCAGCCTTTGTACTACGCCGACGAGCCCAGCAGGAGGACCTACGACCCATACCGGATGTATGTGCAGCATCCGCTCGGCTACGACGACGCCTACATGGATGAGATTATGGCGTACGCGCCGACCGTCGACTACGGCGGCCAGCATCACACGCTCAAGGCCGCCAACAACTACGTGGACATTTACGCCAGCACGCGGAGGCCCTCCTACCGGGCCGAGCAGTACCCCGGTTCCCCCGATTCGTGGGTCTGAAATGCAACCACGAACCATGAACTTGGCTTTTAAAAAAAAAAAAAGAAAGAAAGAAAAAAAAAAAAAAGAAAGAAAGAAAAAAAAAAGACGTGTGAATGTGTGCGTGTGTATACAGTGGATAGCGATAAGTTTACACACCCCTGTTCAAATACTTGGTGTTTGTGATATAAACAAAAAATTATTTCAAAATGTTTTCCACCAGTAATGTCTCAACTCAGTTGAAAAATAAATCTTATAGAGGGGGGAAGTAGAAAATAAGCAGGTGAAAAAATATGATTGCAAAAGACTTCACACCCACTTATCACTGGAAATGGCCACGGACCATGACTTGTGATATTCAAAAATGTAAACAAGTTATATAGAATCATTTAACTGAGTTGTTCAGGTCACATCACAATGTTGGAAAAAGCTTTAAAACAACATAGCGGTGTGATTTATTTATTTTTTTTAATACATCACAAAAACCTGACATTGGACCAGGGATGTGTAGACTTTTTATACCCATTGAATGTAGGGGAGCGACAGCAGAGGGTATTATGGAATGTGTGCCAATAGAAGGGAATTAGTTAAAGTAGTTGAGGAGGGGGACACACACAGCAATTTCTAATGTTTTGATTTGTGGGGATGTTCCATACCACTTTTTTTTCAGACCAGTACCAGCACGAGCTTTCAGTTTGAGTATTCAACGATACCGATACCATGTACTGATACCGCTCGTATTTATGACACATAAAAGTTCACTCAACACAATGACAGATAATCTGGAACAACAATCACCTTTCATGATGATTCACCAAATGCCGCGTTGTATTGGCTGTTATTGGCAAGAAGACTTACATTTTTTTTTTTTGCTTTAAGTATCACTGGCTGGTCACGGCATCCTTCTTGAGTGCCCGATACCAATACCTGGAAGCGTTACTCACTCATCCCCAGTCATAAATTACTTTTAAAAATGTGAAGTATTGCAGAATTACACAAATTTGGCCGATTATCCGATGTGTGTACCCCGTTTTAGAGACAAAAAAAAATCATGTGGGGAGACAAAATTGGACATGAATCACAGTCCTGCTTTGTTTTATGTTAGAATTTTTTTTTTTAACAACTTGTCTTAGCGCAGCGAGGGCGTGAGTCATGTGATGCGAGGATCTGCAGGAAGAGTCAAGATGGAGGTTGTGTGTGTATGTGCCGAAGCCAGCATGGAGTGGGGAAAAGATTGTACAAAAGGATGAAAGTGTTAGCTGTACTTACTGTTGTAACGATGTTGTGTTTTCTTGTAAATACAGTACACGTGGCCTGGTTTACACTCATCTGCACTGCTATACAAATCCTGAACTTGTGCCATATTAAATCTCTAGAGATATATATAAATATATATATATATAAATATGAAGAAAGTATGTGGAGACAACAGTGGCATATGTATACATAGTATCAACATGATATGATAATAAAAAACGACAGTTTTGTTTTGTACCCCCTCTGGTCATTTTTTTTTTCCAGACGGTTATTCAAGTATATTATGATAATGATATGATATAATACTGTGATAATACACTGGGTAAGGTCCATTTTACACATGTACAATACAGTTTACATAGTTATACAGTATAATATTTTACATGCTCAGGTGCCATTCAAAAGATGTTATACGTTGAACGAATGAGCTGACGTCACGCTTTAGGGCATCGGCGATGAGGGGGCGTGGCTCAGGGCGGGACGTCGACGCCAGTTAAGCGTATAAAAAGTGTGAGGCGAGCCGAGTGAAGCCGAGGTGTTTTTTTCTTTTCGTTTCTTTTCACGTTTTCCTAAAGCTAACATCGAAAGATGGTCCAACAAGGCAGCAAAAGTTGCCCAAAAGACGGTCGTCTGCTAAAAGCTGGACATCCTCCCGCTGGTTGGTATTTAAAAAAAAAGTTTTTAAACTTCAGTTCTCCGAATTTGGTTTGCTTTTTGACCCACTTCGACGCACTGAAATTGGCTTTGAACGTTGTTTATGAGCGTGTCATGGGGTCCGTGTGTACGTTGTGCACCCACCCCACTCGACTCTTTTCAAGTTGATTTTAAGTTTACCCGCGTTTTATGCATCTGTCATTTTTATCATTTTTGTTGCGTGCATACGCACTATGATTAGTAACATTTGTTTGTTTCACGTTTGATGCAAAGCAATCGTTCGATTGCGGAATTGATGTGTTGTCGAAGGAATGTCAGTGTTTTTTTTTTTTTGCGTGGGTGGGATGGGTTATGATTGAGTTTAACAAGGTCTGCCTGGCAACAGGAAGCTGCGCAAACGTGCGACGTCACCATGAAAACAAACGAGCACAGGGAAAGTTATTTCACAAGTTTTGGAAACAGGTGCCAGGATATTCCGGGTAGCAGAAATGCCATTAGTAACCGCTGATCTGCAGACGGAAACTTGTTTGGGGTTGTGGCACCGACAAAAATATTTTTTTAGTATTTTTTTCCCCTCTGGATTTTCTGCCCCGCCCCACCCCCCAAAAATCGCAATTAAACTACTGTAAAAAGTTTCACAGAGACGATGGCATGGCTTCCCGTTAACGGCCTAGAAACAGAACATGACAATATGTAATTGTTATGGAAAATATTGTATGGCTGTGTACATGCATGTGCCTTTAAGAGATTGGCCCTGGTGTGGTAGAGTGCGACAATGGCGAGTCTTGGCGTGGCCTGTCAGCAGCTTCTGCATGAGTGCGTTCATTGTGTTTGACTGTTAAAAAAATGCCCAAAAAAACAGCATCACCACCATGGCTTTCCTTTCCCACATGGAAGGCCATTAAAGCGTACTGTAAAAAAAAAAAACAAAAAAACAAAAAAACGATAAAATGATTATTCAACCTTCTAGAGGTCCTCCATTGATAACTGAGTTTGGTTTAAACAGATTTGTATGCAAGTCGTAATTTAAATATTTGTATGATAAAACGCGTAATAATTCCAAAGTCTTTTTTTCGGGGCACTAGTGAAGGCTGGAGGCAAGCGAGTGGCAAAGAAAGGCTTGGAAGAGGCCAACAGCAACCATGGGACTCCGGAGAAGGAAACCAAGAGGCCTGACAAACCCAGGTCAGCCCGGCTTGCATTAGCTGAATTTTTTGATTGATCTTTCAAGGTTCTCATGATATTGCGATACATTTTATGCACAGTGACTTAGATCCCAATGTTTTTTTTTCAGTGATATCTCAAACATCTGACTAGTCCTGTCCCTTGACAAAAATGCAAGTGTGATGGCAAAATGTATTTACAATGAATCACGAGCGTAACAATTTTACAATTCATAAACTTTATAAATTACTTGAGCACTACTTAGTACTAGTAGTAGTAGTAGTATTTAGTAGTGTGTGTATATACATTGTGTCATCGCTTCTACTTCTGAATTTAAATACCTCATTCTTCACTTGTAACACTCTTTGTAGAAGATTTAACGTGACAAACGCTTTGATCGATCACAAGCTGCTCTTAATGGCTGCATTTCCAAGGGTCCGTTATGTTTTAGGTGCTTACACATGATGAGCTCATCCAAAAGAGACGCAATGCTGCCAGAGTTGGTAAAGATTTTTCTCCGCTCAATCCCATAAAGAAATCGGGTATGAAAAACAACTGACAGAGTAAATGAGTACTAGTCACGGTCTAAAACAATTTATCAAACATAACTGATAATTAATATAATGTTGTGATTGTAGTTTACATAACAGCGCTGAGCCAGCTGACATTATTCTGACCTTTTTTGAATGGCAGCTTTGAGGACCTAATTGTCAGTGAAAGTTGTTTTTCTCTCGTTGCCTCAGGGCTGTCTCCAGTGCCAACAGGATGCAACAAGTGGGTCTTCTTCTGGCTGGAACTCTTGACAAGGTAAATGCTCGTTATTGTCAGTGGATGTAAATGGTTCATGCAGTACTCTTAGGTGCCCCGTTTTTGAATCTCGTCAGTTGAGCCACGACTTTCCTGAGACGCCCGTGAGTGTGCGGCACAGCAGAGTGCAACCTGCTGTGGAGAAGCTCCACTCTCCTCGGACCTTCTGCATCCAGCAGCCCAGGAAGTTCTGAAGGATGACGCCTTGACATATTGTAGTGTGCTTGTCTTCAACCGTTTATACTTTTGAGGAAAAAATCTATTCTCTTGAAATACTAAAAATAGCTTTTGTGCTGTGCTCTACTTTTTTTTTCTTTAATTGCTGTTTTATGTTTTTGTCTGTCAACTGAGATTTTGATGTTTCAAATGTTGAATCTTTTCTTCTAGTTCAACATCTTTATACTGCTTGGTGTGCTACATGTTTAGTAATAAAAAAAAATGATTCTGAGATTTTGTTTTTGCAATAATTCACAATGAGCAGTACGTGGTGATGAATACAGGAGTCTTGAGTTTACTACAGATCATTACAGTTGTTTTGTGTTTAGCGATTGTAATCAAATATGTAGACGTAACGCCTTGAGCGAGTTTCTGGCTGCTCAATAGATTAAGAGTGGCGTTTACCAAATTAAAGGAGTTCACTGCACAACACACAGAACGCCACTAGATGGCAGTATTACCTTGAAAAAACCTCCCCTTTACCTCTCCAATAGAAGTTCGATTTTAGATTTATTGTGCAGTGTTTATTAAAACCGCTGCGCAGCGTCGCGGAACCGATTGTTTGCTTCGGAGTTTGTTCTGTAGTGTCATTTAGTTTTTCTAAATCTTGATCGTTATGGTACATTTTTTAAGGTGGTAAACTCATTGACAGGGCGTGTATTTGCAGAACTTGAAAAAAAGATCAAAATATTGTAAAAGGTCCGGTATTTTTTTAACTCACGTTTTAACTGAACTGCATTTGAGAACATATGGAAAAAATGGGGTCAAAGACATCTACTGGACTGTATGAGTTGATAAAAATCGGTTATTGAAGCTAGTACAGTAACACTAAACAGTTTCACCACAAGATGTCGCTGTAGCCTAATGTGCAGTCAATTTGAATCACCTGGTCGTATCGCGCGTCCTCGGTTGACGACGTTTTCCACGACGACGGGGACGTAACACGAATGTCTTCGTGAAGTAAATCCATACCAAATTTTAGCGAACGCAGTAGTAAAGTCACAGCCATAGCAAACATTTGTATGAAAATAATTTATGGGCCATAGGTATAAAACGAATGAAAAACTCAGTTCATCGTGTGACGTTCGTAAACTCGAAAGATTGTCGCAAATGAACTAATCCTAATGTAAGCGCAGCATCAACTTGTGCTATCATGAGGCGGCGTTCAAGCGGCAGGAGGAGGAAGTTGGAGGATGATCCGGGGCAGCCCGCCGGCCCTTCGACGACGAGCCTCCCTCACAGATGACCTCATGCTGGGAAGGAGGAGTCCAACCTCGGCAGTTTTACCTTAGTGTTGGATCAAGTGGGAGCAGAGTTTTTGTGTGTGGAGTTATTCTCAAGTACAAGGGGACGGTTATTTTCTTTTTCTTTTTTCTTTATGAGGGTCTACAGCCGTGACATTTATCGGGTAAGATATTTATTAAGTTTAGTAGCAAGCAAGGTACCGCCGGGAAATGTTGGGGCATGCCCAGCGGGAGCTGCCGTCACATCTATCGGGGACTGACAGTGAATTGGAGTCTTTCCGTCTCAAATTTATTTCTTTTTTCTATGTGAACGAATTGTCAAATTAAACAGGGCGGGTTTTCAATGTTTTTTTTTTCTTTTACAAAAATGCGACTTTTACTGCTAGACGTTGCGTCCGCGATTTTGGGCGAATTCTTGTTGGTTGAAACTTGTTGGTCAGGTAGCGAATCCGTGAACGCAACACGCAGGTCAAAGTGAAGCAAGCTAACGTTAGCATGCTAAACAAGCTCTACAAGTTGACTTGAGGTGCTTTTTATTTGTTTTACTTCTGTTTTACCAAAGACTGTTCGTTAGTGTATCGTGATATGAAACGACACACGCATGACCAATTGACTGCATTACGCTCATATTAATCTCCAATTAATGAGACACCTAATATAAAACAAGCTACCTGTGCAGTTACCAACGTTGTCAAATGTATTTCACATTTTCAAATGCATGCAAGCCTGTTAAAGTGATAAACTATCATAAATGGATGTGAAACTTAACATTTTGAGATCACGTATGATTAAAAGAGAGATGGCAATTTAGAAATGTTGATATGCGGAAAGTAGTCTCCAATATAATGCGATAATGATAATTATAATACTGTACAGATCACTCTGTGCACCGTATTAAACTGTTGATATGCACAATAGTTCACTAAATGTAGTTATTACTCGCTAACACACACACAATCGTTGAAATATTGCCTTTGCACCCCTTAATTGTGTATTTTGATGTTAAATGCCACCCGGTGATTATAAACCACAAGCTAACCCATATTTTGGACTGAAAACTATTATAAAAAGTGTTGAATTTCCAGTGGTTGTTTCCCGGTTGACATGGATATTCGCAGTATTGTTTCCACCCGCACCATTTTGGGGCAATTTTACACTGATTAAGGAATCATTCTAGTGCACTGTAATGCTCGCCTGATGCTTCTTCACTTACCACAAATATGTGATATTAGGGAGAGCAGCACCAGGAGAGACTGATTGCCTTCCAGGGTGAGCATAGCCTGGTTCCCATGGTCCCCGGGCCAGTTGGCTCAGAGCAGAAGCTGGCACCAGACTGGCATTGTTATGTCTGAGGAAAGGGACCTTATTGGAGCGAGTGACCTGATTGACAGCACACACTGAGCTCTTCATGATGGTCATGATGATGAAGAGGATGGGAAAGCGGTTCCCACAGGAAAGGCTGCTTTTAGAGAGTAGCTGGTTTGTAGTACAGTAGACAAGTATATCAACACCCACATCACTCACCAGGCAGGGCACTGTCATGTGACTTAGTCGGGTTATTTTTCCCAAATTGTACAAGTCAGGAGTTTTTTTTTCCCCCATGCTGTTCCTTTATGGGATTCTTGGAATATAGTAAACAGGAAAGTGTCCGTGCCATGGTTCGTGTAATAGCGCACGATCCCACTGAGTGTGTTATTAAAACATGATTTGTTTGGTGACTTGAATGGCACATCCAGTTTACAATATCGTAAACAATTGGAGGATGCCTGGTGGGATACACTTGAACCTTTTTGGTGTTACTTATCTTAGGCGTTCTGTCTTGGTTTCCTGTGTTGATTGGCCGTCGACCAGTCCAGGGTGTGTACCCCACCGCTTACCCCAAGTCAAAGTGGCCTTGTTTCACTCGCAAACATTCCCACGAAGAGGCATTTTGAATGGATTAACAGTGATTGTGCCGCCATGTTGTCAAGTGCGATTAAATCGTACGAATTATACGCAAATAAATGTATTTAGGTGATGCTTTAGATATGGCTGTGGCTGAAGCACTTGTTAGCATGCGATTGTTTGGAATTGGAAGGTCTCCTGTGTGGCAGCTGTTCTCGCTTAACATTTTTGAAAGCCCCCCCGCCCCCCTTCCCCAGACAGACGGGTTGAGAGGAAAAGCACAGGTGCCGCTGAGCCCTTATAAACCGAACTGTTGTCATCTTTGGTGAGGTTTGCAGATCCGCACTTGGATTCGATCCACTCACAATAGATCAACCCCAGCTCAGGCTAGACGGACTTGACGTTGAAATTGATTGCTGGAGAGGCATTAAGTACCGCTGATGTTTCTTTGAGCAAGGCAACAGATTGCTGAAAAAAACGAATCCCCGCCGGGCAACTTAAAACAGCTTCCACTATTGTAGGAAGACTTTCTGAAAGAATTCCGAGCGTGTCTGGGAATTTTCATCCAGATGAACATTCGTAAGAGCTGAGGTCGCGATCTCTGTTTTAGTTCATTCCAAAGGTGTTTTGATGAGGTTGAAATCAGGCGCAAGTCAGGCGCTTCCACTCCAAACATGCCTTTTGGACCCTCTTCGGCGCCCTGGAGCGCAGTAATGCTGGAACGCCAAAATAACTTCCCACAAGTGTTCCCACCTAGTTGGAAGCATACAGATCAGATTCACGATTCAGTCTGTTGTTTGAAATGTTACAGTGGCAAAGCCAAAAATGCACAACAAACTGAACCGGCGCTGCATAAAGAGGATGGCAGATAAGGGGCCAAGAAGAAATAAGAGCTGAATAAGAATGTAGTCTCGTGGATTAAACAAGTAGGAACACGGATGCCACGTTCCCTTTCGTGTGTTAACTACAAAAAGAAGGCATGCAAGACTGTTGCTGTTTTAGTTTTAAAATGAAACAGTGACAGGAAAACAAGTGAAAAGTGTTGTCACCCGTTTAAAGCATTGCCCCCCTCCCCCCAACTTTTTTTTTCCACCAAGAACTTGCTCGTGTTAATTCGAATATTTCACAGATCGGCAGTATCAGAGTGTGGTATCGGTGCATTTTTACAAATACGAGTACTGTACAGATGTGTGTGGTATATCCGAAGCTTAACAATTTAACCCTGACTTAGGAATTGATTTATCAGGTCCTGCCAGCTGGCAAAACTTTATTGCACTTTTAATTGCGACACTGACCTACTTATCATATTCCGCATTGGTCCGTTTCGGTGACTACTTCTCACCAAAGCCTCACGAGACATAGAGTGACGTTCCCTCTGAGATCAGCACGAGTGTGTGACGCGCTAGATGCAAACACCGTGCGGAGGAATGGCGCAGCATAGTGTGAAATTGCATTGCCCGGGCGTTCGCATATTTGTGGCGAGAGGACAAAAAAAAAAAAAAAAGAAAAGAAAAGCAGCCGTAGAACAATACGCGGGAATGCGAGTCTGTAAGGTCAGACGCTTGGGATACTTGCACTCAGTTTCAGACGTTTTGAAGCGCTCATAAAAGCGTCCCAACGAGTTTTCCCCTTGCTATTTATAGGCAATGAGGGCAGCACGGTGACCTAGTGGGTAGCACGTCTGCCTTACAATACGGAGGTTCGGCGTTTGAATATCGTCCAAAGTCAGCCGTGACCCTAACTGAGGACAAGCACCGTAGAAAATGAATTATTGAGTGAATCAGTTGAAGCAAACGTGAGCTCCACCGTAAAAAAAAATAATCTGATAATTTTTCACCATTGATTCATTAAATTTAGTCCAATTGAACGACAATTTTACTCGATAAAATACCGTTGACATGCCATTGTTGTGCTTCACTAGCAATTCCAAGCATGGGAGGATTTAAAAAAAAAAATCATTTCCCTCTGGAGAAACCTCATGTAACTTTTAAAGGCAACTTGTTAATATTTTACTCTTCATCAAACACGAGGCTTCCCCAGAGGCAAATGTTGAGCCGAGTCCAGAAAGCAGTTTCCCCTTACATTTTTTTTTTTTTTTTTTTTTTGGGACTCCTGGTGTTCATTTGCACATAAATGGCTCCGTGGGTTGTTAATGGAGGGATGGCGAGACAATTACTGGGGATAGCGACACTTAATAAGTGAGATTCCCCCGAGGTTGCCCATTTCTGAAGAGCGGTGTAGTTGTCGCGGAATGATTTCGCAGTAATTTGACATGGGAAAAAAAAAATGCCCTGTGAAACTGCCGTCATCCATAAATATACATTCCACTAAGATACGTCAAGGCCGCTTCATGTACGTTTACAGCCCATGGCTGTCGGAGTTTGGATTTCATCCATGTGGCACATGATGAAATACGATTTTTTTTTTTTAATGTGGAAAAAAAAAAAGCATGTACAATGTCTTGTCTCGTCTGTTTTAATTTCAGGTTTAGTCACTTTAAGGAGCCCGAGATGTAACTGGAAACAAGGAGAACCCTGTAAAACATGCCTTGACACTTTTGGAGGGCTAACCGTCATGAGACTGAAAGAAATTGCCTTTCACACACTGTCGTCGTCACAGACAGGCACCAATTGACCCATCAATCATGTCGCAGACTATCAAGGGCAGGAAGCGCAATTCGCTTTCCCATGCGATCCCCCTTTTGACTGGATCAAACTTGTCCGCCGCAGTCATAAACCACCTGGTTTTGCCCGCCGGCTGAAGAACTACGAATGCACCCGTAGGAGCGGATCACACACGACGCTGCGCAAATGGTATCATTCAAGACGCAGAACCACAATGTCCATTGCGGCCGTATGTCTTTGTGGCTGGTAGTGACAGCCTCCAGGAATACCTGATATCTGATTGTAAGAGCAGTTTTGCACCGAGAGCGGTACAGTATCAGTTCTCGCCATCCCTAAACATGACTGTGACTGGCGATTGGTCCAGGGTAGGCCAAATCACTGCCTCCATTGCTTAAAAGTTCATTGCTTAAAAAGTGTCGGCCATATATTTACATATCATTGTTTGGTGATACATGAATAGTTGAAGTTATCGAGTCACAGATTCGTTTGCATTATTGATGGAATTAGACTTACTGACTTCGGCTGACGCCACACTTCGTAATTGGGTTACTTTTCAACACGGACCAGCCCTTGCAGCATTCTTCAGGCGTTAGAGAGCCAAGCTATTCAGAGGAAGTCGCAAGGCAGGGCTGCGAAGGATGCACTCGAGCCGGAGCGGCCGGCCGGCCGGTGACATAAAAATGTCTGCCCTTTGTTCTTTCCCTTCCTGTCAGGCCAGCGCGAATAGTCGCATTTGCTTACAATGGCCGACATGAAGACGGAGCTGTCCTTCATACCTGCGCCCTCCGCTTCCTCCATTCACGCCCGTGTTAGTTAAGGGGCCATTGTTTACGCCGCGCCGCGGCACACAAGCCGGGGACTGGCCTTTTTCCTGCGCTCTGTGAATAGCTCATCAAAAGACCGACTGTTCCTCCCACTGGCTTAGCTCGTAGCGGTAGCTTTAGCGCAGAGTGTGACGCCGCGACCGTCTGATCCGGTCCAGTGCTGACCACAGCGTGGCCCTCAGCGCCACAGTCCAGCATCTTCTCCATGCCGGCAAATCTGGGTGTAGAACCTGTGATGACAGATAAAAGTGCTCTGATTCATTTTAGCAGTTTTTGAGATGTGCATGATGAGCCGCTCATTTGGTGGCGTTTCTCCTAATTCGGAGCGCGGATGGTTGTTCGTCTCTGTGTGCCCTGCAATTGCCTGGCAACCGGTTCAGGTTGTCCCCCCGCCTACTGCCAAAGACGGCTGGGATAGGCTCCAGTACCCCCCGCGACCCTTGTGAGGATAAGCGGATCGGAGAATGAATGAATGTCCTAATTAGGGTTGAAGCCAGGTCACTTTGGGCCAGAATCAGGTTACGATAATATCCACAAAGGAACATTCGGAATGTCATTCACACCCGTGGACAAGTTAGAGCAGGGGTGTCAAACATACGGCCCGTGGGCCGGAACAGGCCCCCGACGAGGTTCGCTCAGGCCCGCAGGATAATTTAAAAGTGAAAAAATGCATAAAAGATTTTTAAAATTAATATTTTTAATAAGATGCAATTCATGGATTATCCACTCGGGGCACACTGTTTTCTCTTTAGTTTGTAAAGCATAGGCAGGGATTACATGTAGATTTTATATGCACATCTGTATGTAGACATGATATTTTGGTTATTTATAGCAGAATATGGTATAATTTTAATGGTCTGGCCCACTTGACATCTACCGAGGCCAAAATGTGAAATGAGTTTGACACCCCTGAGTTAGTCTTGAATGCCTTAAGTAGCAAAATGTATGTTACGCCTTTCACGCTAACAATTTTTCAAGCTACATCCTTTTGAAATAGTGCTATCAAAAAACTGAATATTTGATTGAAAAAATTGGCGCCTAAAGGTGGGTTTGACCCTCAGCCCTTGTGACCAAAACTAGCTGCTCCTGATGCTAAGTGAAATGAGTTATTGAACAAAAATTGGAATCATACTAGCAGGTTTACTACTACTTTAAAATGCACCAAAATCATATTGATTGAGTGACGTAAGTTCCTGCTACCCCCACCCCCAAAAAAGTTGAGTTCGATTCATTTTTTTTGAAACAGTGATATTGTTATGAAGGTTCAAGTTATGTTCATTCATTTCATTTTTATGAAGATGAGCTTTTTCAATGCGAGGAACAGCCTAACCAGTGACCCATAAGAACACGTTGGCAACTTCCAAGCAAAAGAAAGCTGGATGTAAAAGACACTATCAGCAGTCCTACTTAACCACGGCTTTATTGCTAGTTGACTCACATGCACCGAAACCAACTGTGCATAATACCGTTACGCGGCGGCGACAGCCTCGCTAATGAGGCAGTAAAGCCATCTAAACTGATTTGGGGAGACGCCGTGACCAAACATCCATTTATCTAACTGTACCGCCGATCCTCACTAGATGGGCCTGGCTCGTTGGATGAGAAACTAGCGCCCACTAATTACACCAATTACCACAATTGCATTCAGTGGAATGGCGACTTGCAGTTTTTATTCATCCTTTGTCTTGATCTCTCCCCCTATGCTGGTCTATCAAAATGTGTCTGTTGTAAACCACCGCTCTGGCGTTGATAAACACCATCGATGACGACGGTGCCAAACCTAGCCGTCATTACTCATGCGTAATTGCTGATGATGACAGCATTTCAGCTGGCCGCCAGTCATCGAGAAATTGATTTCACCGCAGTGACCCGCTATCGCATGCATGGCGATAGCCAGAGGCGCTTCTGAGACGCCTCTTAACCAACCCCCCGGTTTCCTGTTTCTCCGCTGTTTTAAGAAAACGCTTCCGGTGAGCTGCAGTTTGGCACTTTTCCGAACTTGTTCTATTGCACGTGTCAAATGTCACCGGTGTACAGTCGTCTTTGGAATTCTAAAAATCACGTGTACTACACCCCTCTCGGTTTTTCATCTTCGTCATCTTGTTCTTTCGCTAGCTGCCGCACAGCAAATGTAAATATTCAGGGTCCATATGGGCAGTGTGTCCACAAAGCCTTGCGAATGCCGTGTTCTCACTGCTTTGTTGTGATATCAAATGCCCCCCCGCCCCACCCTCCACCCACCAAAGGGTCTGAGCAACTGAGGTTAATGATACAACTTGAAAGTCAGGCGAGTTGACTGAAAACATCAAATGTTGCAGCTGGGTTACACCTTCGGCTTGTCGGATGCTGATTGCGTGGCCCCTTTTGGAAAAATAAGTGTAGTAGTTGTGTAACTCATCACTCATTGACTCATATAGCCTCCTTGATGTTGGTCATTACCGTGTAAAGCGGCGCATAGCAACGGCTAATCCGTCACACTTAATGGACCGCTCTCTTATACATTAAACTACATTAAGTACATGAGAAATTAATCATCAGCTCTTATACTGTAAAACATGTTTCACCAGGGTCCACACTTGACAGTATTTTATTGTATCGCAAATGTTGAAGACAAATATAGACTGTACTTAACATGATTTCCTTCTCTGAACACACCCCTCGCGGCGCTTCTTTCGAAAGTAAACCATGAAGAGGAATCATTTGGTTACTTGCTGAGCAAAATAATTCCTGTAATAAATTGAAAAATTCAATTCTGCAAAAAGGGGTGAAGCAAACCTCCGTCACGAAAGCTTCGCAGGGATCATCCTTCGACATGCTGTAACGTTACTGCAGTGGCGATACTCCGCATACGAATAAGTCGGCACCGTGGCTGTGAGTGAATGGCCACATTTTGGATGATGTCGCATTTAAAACGGAATATAAAAGTGCAACGTGTACCACCAAAGTACACCTTACAGTCGCCAACGCAAGGTAAACGTATTGATGTTAGCTTAGCCTACCATCGCCAGTCAAGCATTTGGTCATTTCCAATCATGTTACAAAACAAATGGGAAGAAAAGAAATATGTAAACAAATCCATTTGTACATAACTCAAGGCAAGTCAGTCAATGAGGACCAAAAAAAAAAAAAAGCAGTGGATTGAGACGCTCTCCCGCAGCAACCGTAAGCCGCCCGTCTGCGTTGGAGAATGTGCGGACTATTTGTGTAGTGTTTGTAAAAAGCCAGGCCTTATTTGGACGGAGACGTTCATTTGTCTTTATCGGAATGACTCCTCGGCCTCTATTAATACAACAGCGTGGGTTGCTTAAGAACCACGGCACTACCGTTTCAGCTGCTGTTTAGTTAAGCGTTTTATTTACCGTCGCCCGATTCCACTGGACTGTTACTCACGCTTAGGTCAACAAGCACATACAGGCAGGGACCTTGACTTCTTGTCGTATCACTCGCCCGCTCGCGAACCGCTGGCGAACGCAATCTCAAACGGCCAAGTTTAGTCACACGGCGTCAATTACACGTGGAATTCGGGGCATTTCAGCGTTTCCCTCCTCGGCGAGATAACACCACACGCTCTTTTTCTGTGTACGTGTGGAAGCATTCTTTCCGTGTACTCTTGCACTGGTGACCTGCAGAATGAGGAATGCTGTGGGAAAATGACCGGGCCAGTGCCAGCTTAAAGTGCATCCAATGGCGATTTGCAGTATTTTTGCTTTAAAAAAAAAAAAAAAGTCCAGTGTTTAAATATAGTACATCTGATTCGTGTGTTTGAAATACATTCTTAGCGGAATAAATAAAAAAAAAATAAAAAAAAAATAAAAAAGTGGAAAT